ACACAATACACAAACATACAAACATATAAACATGTATAATTTCATAACCTTTTTTTCATACACCTTACTTCCCGGACTTCCCCATACCTCCCCTTTTCTGCATCCTTGTTTTACATTTCTTCAGCAACTCCTCCAATTAACTAATTATTCAATTCATTTTCTTTTAAGTTCTTCTCTAACTTATTAATTACAGCTGCAATTCTCTATTTCCCAATTCCTTGACATTTTAACACTCCTCAATTTTACAACAATTTTTAAGATATATTTTAAATTTCTTCCAATCTTCTTCCACTGTCTCTTTCCCCTGGTCACGGATTCTGCCAGTCATCTCCGCCAGTCCCATATAGTCAATCACCTTCGTCTGCCATTCTTCCAGCGTGGGTAGTTCTTGTGTCTTCCAATTGGAAGTGCAAGTAGATAAATAGGTACCGCTCCAGCGGGGAGGTAAACGGCGTTTCCGTGCGTTGCTCTGGTTCTCCAGAAGCAGCTTAGTCATGCTGGTCACATGACCCGGAAGCTGTACGCCGGCTCCCTCGGCCAATAAAGCGAGATGAGCGCCGCAACCCCAGAGTCGGCCATAACTGGACCTAATGGTCAGGGGTCCCTTAACCTTTACCTTTAACTAACTTGCAGGTCCTACCGCACTCTTTATCAATTGGCTGTCACTGATTTAAAGGCTGAAGCAGCTCAGGCCTGGCCTCTGGCCCAAAGCAGACAAGAAATGATGTTTTAGAAGATGCTGGTTCAGGTGGCAGGGAGAAGAAATGATGCCAGGATGGATGCATATAACATGGTGCTCTGATCCATTTCCATTGTGGCCTTTCTACATATGTGGAGCAGTGATCCTGAGAACTGGACACCAATTTATTAAAAAGCAAAAACCCTGACAATGCAATAAAAAAAGGTTCAAGACTTACATGGGCTTGATTCAGAGGCCACAGCCAAAAAATCTGTTTGTTTGTTTGTTTGGAAAATGCTGCAGGCTCCCATATTTCATATCACCATTCCTGGGTTTCTGTGGCATCGGAATTGGGAAAACTATGGTTCATGAGAAACATGATTTGTTGCCACCGAGCAGTGAGGATATTTCAAACACTTGTATCAATCGTATCAACACGTACAGGGTTCTTAAGTTATTTCTGCATGGAACCTCTGTTCTGAACGGGGGTGGAGGTTTGTGGTCGCTGGTGCTGTCTTGCAGGAGGCGGCTGCGCCAGAGGGTCTTTTAATTCTGTATTTCTCTTCCAGATAAAATATTAATTTATACCTGCCAGTGGTCAGACTGGAACCAGTCAACGAAATCACGTTATATTTATCTTTATTTCTGGGCTCAATTCATGGTGCGGTTTGTGGCCTGGAAACAGAATTATGTCACACATCGCTTTTTGCCATATAAGCTTGCCTGACAACATTTTTTTAAAAATCCTTTTACAGCTATTATGACAAATAATGATGATAATGTAATAATAATTAATTATTTATACCCTGCTCATCTGGCCAGGCCTCCCCAGCCACTCTGGTTGGCTCCCAGCAGAATACTAAAAACACGGTAAAACATCAGACATTTAAAAACTTCCCTAAACTGGGCTGCTTTCAGATGTCTCCTAAAAGTGAGGTAGTTGTTTATTTCCTTGACATCTGGTGGGAGGGCATTCCACAGGGCAGGTGTCACTACTGAGAAGGCCCTCTGCCTGGTTCCCTGTAACCTCACTTCTCGCAGTGAGGGAACTGCCAGAAGGCCCTCGGCGCTGGACCTCAGTGTCCGAGCTGAGTGATAGGGGTGGAGACGCTCCTTCAGGTATACTGGGCCGAGGCTGTTTAGGGCTTTAAAGGTCAGCACCAACACTTTGAATTGTGCTTGGAAATGGATTGGAAACCAGTGTAGGTCTTTCAAGACTGGTGTCATATGGTGTTATATAATGGACTGAGCAGAACAATTAATATCTCAATACATCTCACCGCGACATGCCATGAGGCACAAGAGGATGTATTGTATCCTTGTTCATGTTTATATAAAATACAAATTAATGCCGTAGTCCCACCAAAATGATCATCCAATCCTTTCCTTGCTTGACAATTTCCTTCTTCCAAGAGGTATTCACCTTTCTTTGCCACTGCTCAGTTCGATAGGCAGCAAAATCTTTTTACTCTTTCGGTCTCTTTAAAAGATTATCACTGGTTTTATTGCTATTTGTTGTCGTTATCTTGTTTTTTCCCATCTCCATCACAAACCGCCTTGCAGCGTTAATACTTTAAAATTGCATTTCTTTCCTGTGTCCCTTAGATGAGCTGGATTTGCTGTTCTCGACAGCCGGCTTGGAGAAAGCCCAAAACATTGTGGACCGCCGCCTCCAAGTGAACAGAGGGAAACAAATCACCATGTACAGAGTCTGGATCCAGTGTAAATATCGCAAGCCAAAGGGCGACAAGGCATCTCCAGGAGAAAGGAGCAGCTTTCATCCTAGTGGCTGCACGTAGCGAGACTCGGACCTCTCCCCTGGGCAGTTGCCTCCAATACACTTGGGAACTCACTGCAGACTTGGTGCAGCAAACAGGACTGCACGGTGCTTGTATTAGAGGCACAAAGTTTACTGGCACAAACCCCAATACAGAGCAAAAATTTTAAATTTGCCTGGTGGGTGGGGAGAACCTTCTTGAGATGCCAAGTACCTGCAATTAACTGTAATGCAACTTTGTGGCTTACAGGGGTCTGGGGTCTGAGTTCCTTGGCCTCCTACTGAATTAGGTGGGTTTATTCCTGCAAAAACAGTATGATGGCACCTCCTTCTGCAGTCCTAGCTGGAGAGGCTGCTTCTGGCCACTGACTTGACCAGGAAAGAGGGAAGTCCCTTGCCAAATGGTCAGCTCTTCTTTTCAGAGCTGAACAAATGTTCTTCAGATGCAGGAACGTGCGCCAGACCAAATGTTTAGATGCAGGAATGTGTATCAGACCAATGTCTCCCATGTATGCAGGTCTGGCTGTTTAACTACCGTATTTTTTGCTCTAGAAGACTCACTTTTTCCCTCCTAAAAAGTAAGGGGAAATGTGTGTGCGTCTTATGGAGCGAATGCAGGCTGTACAGCCATCCCAGAAGCCAGAAGAGCAAGAGGGATTGCTGCTTTCGCTGTGCAGCGATCCCTCTTGCTGTTCTGGCTTCTGAGATTCAGAATATATTTTTTCTTGTTTTCCTCCTCCAAAAACTAGGTGCATCTTGTGGTCTGGTGCGTCTTATAGAGCAAAAAATACGGTAAATCTAAACAAGATCAACATGGGTTTCAGAGCATTGCATCAGTTTCTGACTGCTTCAAGGAGTTTATGATAACCATGCCTTCTTATACCTACAACATAACTTTTCTACATTGGCGTTGGTGGGGTGGGGGAAGAGTCTAAGAAAGTGTCCTGGGAATCTTGCGGGTTTCTAGAATGATTTCAAGTTGTTTTAACAAATACTCACTGGCATAAGTGCATCACCCTCGCTGATGGTCAACAAGCACGCTAGAAAAAAAATGGAACAATCCTCTCCAGCCGCCAAATTTGATAAAGTTAAATTATAGTATATTTAAAACAATTCTGAATTTAATGCAAACAGAACATGTTAAAGCCTGCCTGTGTAATCTCCAAAACTGAACCAGACTTGTGAAAATAAGCTTAAAAAATTAAAATACCTTTTTAAAATTTTGCATATGAAGCTATGCTTTAACATTACATCAGTGGCAGCCAATGTTGTGCCGTACAGATATTGGACTGCCAACTCCCATTAGCCGTAGCCAGTGATCAGGGATGATGCGAGTTGGCGACCATTGGCTGAGGGACAGAAAATTGGTTTCATGAATGAGCCTCAGGTGTGCCATCTTTAGTGCCATGGTGGAAAGGTAAAAAGTCTACAGCTTCCAATTCTGGCTGAACTTGGAGTAACTATATTAGCCTGTTGCTTAGTGCAAACATGCAAGATGGAAATGTGATTTATAACCCTGGCTTATTCACTAACATATAACGGGGAATGAAATTAGTTTTTTAATGCAAACAGATTCTCTGATCACCTGCTTGTGAAAAAGAAGGGGGGGGGAACCATAATGAAAAACCATTCTGGCCAGTTAAGAGCCCTAATTTTGGATTGTACCTGCAGCTGTACAACAGGTAAACTAAGAGTTTTGAACTGCTTATCTGCTTTCCATTTCCTTTGGATACTTCATAAATTCACTCATGTCTCCATAGTACAGCCAATACTTGATGGGAACTTCTCTAACTTTGATTCTGTGAATTCAGACAACACAGTAAACCACGGCTTGCCTAAACTATGGTTTGCAACATCAGCTTCAAATGCTAGCTTCTTGACCCCAAAATGAACAATTTTGTGAGCAGGTTCCACTAAGGAGTTTGTCTTTAAACATGGTTTGCTGTTCTGCACACTAGATTCAGGCTTGTGCCCTTCCCAGTTGCCTCTCAACAAAGTGACCATGGGTCAGATGTCACAATAAACCATGGTTTACTCTTATGGGAGTCATCCTAGTTGAATAATTAACTTGTTAACTATCCTTGCCCTCTCTTATTTCAGCATGTTTGTGAGTTTAGAAAATTACGTTTCTGTTGTTTGTTGACAGCATTTTAGTCTTATGTCTGAACCCTAAACTATGGCTAGTTTTAATTATGGTTTAAAGAAGCCATTTTCATAGTCCATTCTTTGAAGTTGACTTTTTTCAAGCAAACTAAAGATTAACACAGTCCTTAAAATTTATTCAGATTTTGAAACTGGTTAATAAAAAACAAATAAAGGCTGTTAACTGCCAAACCAGAAGAGAGATAAGCCATAGGCTCACCTAGTCATTCCTTCCACAAATATACTGTGGCTTATTGTGATTCCAAATGGGTAACAGTGGTTAGCTGAAAACGTAGGGGAAACGATTGTGTCCCCTTTCTGTCTGCATTAGTGGAGATGACTGTTCTTGCACATACTCTCAGGGGGCGTGCCATGGGCAGGTCAGCAATAACTCACACGGTGTCAATGAAGTTAACTCTTTATTCAAAGGGGGAAAAACAAGCTCAGAGAGCAGGCCTAGCGAGCACAGCAACTCTTCCCAGTAGATCTTGCCCCGATGAGTCAGGTGTGAGGTCCCACCTCCCCAAGTCTCCTTTCCCAGGTCCTTCCCAAGCAATCTCGGGTTCCTTCTTGTCTCTTGTTGCTCCATCTTCATCTCTCTGCATGTTCTGGTAGACTGGGGAGAGGGGAGCTGGTCACAGCAGGAGGGGGAGACCCCTGGCTTCTTCAGCAGCCTGCCTCATCTCTGCCTCTCCTCTCTAGCCGCCTCTTCTTGTTCTTGACTGCTCTCTGCCACAGCCTCTTCCTGCTCACTAAACCCTGTTGCCTCTTCAGCTTCTGACTCCTCCTTCTCCCAGTCTGTTCCCTCTTCTCCCTCTCACCACTCATCATCATCATTCCACCACCAATCCCCTGGCCCTCAGCCTTCTTCCCCTGAGGGTTCCCTTGGGGGTTCCCCAGCTGGTGTCTCCCACTACTCCTCTGCATCCAAACCTGTTCATGACACATACTTAGCACTGTGTGAATTCCTCCATTAGCTCAGGTGTGGGAACCTTTCTACCCTGAGGGACCAGATCGTCATCTTCCCTAACCCCCGATGGGCAAAGTTTGACAGGTGGGCAATGACATCAGGTGACCTTTTTCCCCCCTTGCAGAGTCTTCAGAAGCCCCACCGAAAGCACCATTTGACACAATCTTGGACTGGTGCCAACAAATACCCATTGTGGGTGTGGCTTGGCCAAAATGACCTCAGGCTAAATGGGGAGGACTGGGCATTCCCCACTCCTGCCTTAGCAATAGCTTTAAACAAGCCACTGTTTCACAATTATATCTGAATCCCACAAATTAACCTTGTCTTACATTGTTGGGCTTTCTCCTGGATCCGGCAAATGAAGAAGCCACACACACAAACCCTTGTCCTTTGAAATATACCCTTTCCCTGACATCCCAGCACCTCCACATGCCTGCTTGCAATTCAACCTGGTTTTCCCCCATGATGTCTACACCTTTCCATGACACTTTCCAAGGCAAAACACCCATCCATCTCCCAACTAATCCTGTACCCACATACCTGGGAGCAACCTCCATTGAACTCGCTCTGATCGGCTTTTGAGATACATCATGTAAAGGACTCTTGTGAACTGCTAAACCACCTCACGCCTTTTGTATACTCACATTTTCTCCTCCGGATCAAGAAATCCCCCACATGCTCACAAATCAGCCCAAACGCTTCCGCATCCTTCACTTCCTCCCGCAATGCCACTGATGAAAAAACACACCGGTTGAACTGTGTATATAATCGCCTTGAAGCTTCCAAAGCACAAGAACCCCCCCCCTTCTGCAAATAACACCCCGAGACACAGACCCCCATCCCTTTGGAGACAAACCCACCGCCTGCACCTGACCACAATGCAGAAAAAATACCCACCTACCTTAAGTCCCTATTATACAAAGGCGACCACGCCCCCCTCTTGAGTTACAGGCGGAACGCCTTCCTCTGTGTACCCCAACACCCCCTCACCCAGTATATGGGTCCATTCTTCGTTTTTTCTGCGACCCCCAAGAAGGAATGAAGTCTCCATGCCATGACCCCCCCCCTTTGATGAAAGCTCTGGCTCAGCAATTATTTTTCCACCTGTCAGGCCGGACACCGTCCTGGATTCTGCAACAATCCCCACGATGGTGGGGGGGGGGCGGGGTGTCCATCCGCCTTTAGCAAAACCTGGTGTCCGCAAATAAGGCAGGGTTAAATAAAATTTAAAAAGCCACATGCAATGCAATGCAATGCACCCGGGCCCTCCCATCGCCCCACCCCGAGGTTTTTAGCACCTCCTTGCACTGACCTCTCCCCTTCCCCCAACCTTTTTCTCACCACCACCGACTCAACCTCCCCCCCCCGCCGCCCCACCTCGCGCACCGCGCACCCGCACACCAACCTCCCACCCGTGCAAATCTCGCGAGACAACACGTGCTTTCACAAGTGGTTCCCCCCCCCCAACACCTCTTCTCCTTGCACCAATCGATCCGGGGGCTGGGCTTAAAAAAAAAAAAAGCCTAAGTAAAGGGGGGCGGGGGAGAAGGGGGTGTATAGGCGAGAGCTGGGGGGGGGGAGAAAAAGTGAAATGTGGGGGGGCTGCCCCGCCCCCATTGATCGCAACTTGCAACCAACCCCCCCCCAACTGAATAGCATTTTTTGGGGTAAACGCCCCCCCTCTCCCACCCACCCATCCCTAATCCCGTCCTCGGGGGAAAAAGAGGAGGAGGAGGAGGAGAGCCCCAACCCTCTCGGGAACGAGGCTACCTTGGCCGGGCGGGGAGCCTACGCGAGGCCGGGGATTTTACGGCCTGCCTGCTCGCTTCTCTCCCTTCTCGGTCTCCGCCGAGAGGGCGCAGCAGGAGCAGCTGCTCTCCCACCGCCACTTTCCTCCGGTGATCCCTCCTTCTCCATCTCCCCGTCTTCTCCTTGGGGCAAAAAAGGGCCCTGCAACCAACCAACCGGCTGGCCCAGCAGCGAAGCCCAGCCGAGCCGCCGCCACAGGTGAGAGAGACCGCGCGTCCCGGGCATCCCTTGCCTCGGCCCCACGTTGCGGACGGGCGCTGCGGGAAGAGAGAGGCTCGCTTCTCCCCCGCCGCCCTTCCCTCCAGGCCGTGGCCGGCAGGCGAGCGGGAGAGCAGGCGAACAGGCCGGCCTTCCCCTGCTAGGCCTTAGGAGGGTCGGGGAAGAGGTGCAGCTGCGGCGGCGGCGGCGCTTTCCGAGGGAGGAGTAGGTAGGCCTTGCAGCTGGGGCTTCTCCTTCACCCCCAGCTCCCTTGCCGTTACACTTGGTGACATTTTATTTCTTGAGGGGGGGGGGTCAACGGTCTGTGTAGGCCTCGCCTCCCCCCCAGTCCTATCGGTTGCTATAGCAACGCCGCGGAAGAAGGGCCAGTGCGCCCCCCCCCCGTGTCCCAACCTCGGGAAAGGGGCCCGGGTTACTATGGTAACGTTGTGGGGGGACGGACCCATACATGCCCCTGTAGGCCTTGGGGTGTGTGGGTGTCTCATATTATTGTGGGGTTGTTTTTATTGGGGCGACGTGTGGGGGGTTTTGGGGGGGGGAGAGGTAACGCGCGTGGTGGCCGTTCTCTCGTGTAGGCCTCGAGACTGGCCTACGTTGCCTAACTAGAAGTTGCAAGCCCGGTGGGGGCTTAAAATAAAGGGCGAGTTGTGGGGGGGGCTGGCGAGCGCGCCCGGGCTGTTGCTATGGGAACGTTCTGGTCGGTTGGGGAGGGGGGCGGAAGAGCCTCCCTCTCGCGTGCTGGGTGGGGTGGGGGGGGCTCCGTTGCCTTGGTAACTTTCCGTGGTTGGGAGAGGGTCGCGCCCACCCGTGTCAGTGAACGGGGAGCGGTGGGTGGGTGGGTGGGCGGCCGGGCCTAGCGGTCTCAGGTGCCGAGCCTCCTTGGGCCTGGTCGTGAGGGGGTTGTTTTGTTTTCCGGTCAAGGGGAGAGTGAGATGTCAGCGGCCTCTGGGGACGGCAGGCCCCCACGGGTGGGAGTCGCCACAGCTGGAAGTGTGGGTAGGGGTTGTTACTGCTTTTTTAAAATAAAAATGGGGGGTTAATAGGTTAGCAGGGGTTAAATCAGGAGGGGAAAGGGGTGCTGTCACTCCCCATTGGAGTAAAAGAGGTGGTCCCCATCCCATAAGAACAAGTGGGTAAGGCTTGGAGTAAGGGGATGGATGCTTGCCTGGGTGTCACTTGCCTGGGTGGGGAGAGTCATTGGCTCCTGTTTTAACTTATTGTAAATTCCAACAAGGTGGTGGTCTTGGGTCCTAAACTGTAGGGCCATCTCTTGAGAAGTCAAGGATAAAGCGAGCGGGATTGGAGGTTACAAAGTGAAATAAATGTGTCCGCTGGAATAGCAAGAAGTAGAAGTCAGGGCGAGGGGGACACTCAATTGAGAGACGTTACGTATTCGTTTTTCATTTCATATAATGGCACGAAACAACAGTTTGTTTGCTTTATCGTCATTCCGCACACATACATGCTTGAGAGATGCTCAAGTCCCACTTCAGGGAATTTAACATGCCTTGAGGGGAAAGTGATCAGAAGTCTGTTTAAAACATGCACAAATGCCTTTCTCAGATGCCCGCCCACTTTAGGGGTTCAGAAGTCCCTGAGGTGACAAACCCACCTTTGTGTGGCTGCTTTAAACTTGAATGCTTTTAATAATTATGAATGCTTCATTATCTTCCCAGCTGGTTCCTTTGTAGCTTATTGAGTTGTTTTAGAAGCCTTGTTGGGAGATTTTGGAATGTTTGTAAGCATACCCAATTAGAACTATTTTCTTCCTTCTAATAGATACTGTGATAAAAAATAAGCCTATTTGGACGTCCCATCACTTGCACTGATATGTATATTTCAAAGTAAAGTGTGGCTAAGGTTGTAGCCGTATGGTCATATTGTTGACATGTTCTTCAAACTATCACCAGCAACACTACAGCACTGCCGTCTTATTTATCTGTTACAAGTCAAAGATGGGGGACCTTTTGCCATCCATATGTTGTTGGACTTCAGTGGAGTTGTCCATCAGCCCTAGCCAGCATACCAGTAGTTAGAGATGATGGAAGTTGTAGTGCAACAATATCTGGAAGGCCATAGGTTCCATACCCTTGCTATAAATACATAACTAGCCTTTCCATTTTAAAATATTTCAGTGGTTGATAGCATGATAACAAGACTATTGAACAGCTAAAAGGAGGTAGCAGATAACAGATAGTAAATACAGTGGTACCTCGGGTTACATACGCTTCAGGTTACAGATGCTTCAGGTTACAGACTCCGCTAACCCAGAAATAGTACCTTGGGTTAAGAACTTTGCTTCAGGATGAGAACAGAAATTGTGCTCCGGTGGCGCAGTGGCAGCAGGAAGCCCGATTAGCTAAAGTGGTGCTTCAGGTTAAGAACAGTCTCAGGTTAAGAACGGACCTCCGGAACGAATTAAGTACTTAACCCGAGGTACCACTGTAAAATGCTAAAGAGAGATGGGGAAATGAGGTTCCCTGGGAATGGAGTTTCAAAATCTGGGTGCAGCTGTATCCCAGCCAAACACAACTGTGATGTTGGCAGGATTCAGAAGAGAGTCTCCCCAAAATATCTTAATGAGCGGGAGAAAGCAGTCCTTTAAGTATCCTGGCTGCTGTTAAAAACTCCCTGACTAGTGATTTTTAAAAATGCCACTTGATGCTTTTTCTTCTGCTGCAGTCTTCTAGAAAAGTGATAATGGGGACAAAATGGAGAGCAAACAGAACAACTGATGTGAAGTCAGTAGCTGGTCCCGTCCCCCCCCCTCTTTCTAAAGGGTATTGGTGGTCTTCAGGAATGTTCCTTCTAAGCATGTGCTAGAGGTCCAGAGTGATTCAGTGTTTTAACTTTTAGTTGGGGAAATGAAAGTGAATAAATAGTTCTGGAAACAATGCCTTTGGAAAAGTATGAGTCATAGGGTCATATGCACTTTGCTTTTCTACTGTTCTGTCAATCAATTATTAAGTAATTGCTCCGTTTAGGGGCTATAACACTACCTGAACCATAGTCTAGGGTTATGGGAACTGGCTTGGCCTCCTTCCTATCCTTTGACACAATCGCAAAAAGGAGATTGGAAGTTTCTGCTTTGGCATTGCATATGAACCCTAAACTATGGTTAACTTTATGCTTTGTGGAACCAAGCCATCTTTATAAACTATGGCATGAAGTTGGTTTTTCCCCCTCTTACCATATTTAAGATTAAACATAGATTCTTTTAATTATAGTTTAGTATTGCCTCTGAGCCAGTCTGAAATGTTTCCAGAACTCCCAAGAACTCTTGCTATACACATATGCTAGCTCTGTTAGTAGAGCATGAAATCTTTAATCTCAGGGTCATGGGTTTGAGCCCCATGTTGGGTAAAAGATTCCTGAATTGCAGGGGGGTTGGACTAGATGACCCTCGTGGTCCCTTCCAATTCTACAATTCTATTATCTGACCCATGTTGTGGCCTCTTTCTGTTTTAGTGTTTGGTTGCGTACCCTTCAGCGGTCAAGCTGAAGATCTGTCTGGGAAGATGCTAAAGGGAATTGAAAAGAAAACAGACCTTTGTTATCCATAAATGTTTTCATTTCTGTGATATTTTTAGTGTAACTTTTGAGGGGTTGATCTAGAAATTGCAGGGTAGAAGAATGCATGGTCAAGGATCTCTCTCTACACTGAGGAAATGACTGTTTTGCCTGCAAACACATATGTATTATTTCTGACTTTTGTAAACAGGAATGAAATATTGTATTAGCTATATTTACTAGTTAGGTTGACAGTGAACTTTTTGAAACACAATACGTTTGTTTCACTTATTTGACTTTATTGTTTGTGTATGTTTAATTGTTTATAATGGACCAGATATTGTTAACCAACTTCAGAGGAAAGTTACTAAGAGTGGCTTCACATGAACACAGAGGAGAACCCATCAGGAAACTGAAGAATTGTGCCACACTGATGGAGGACCAGAATCTCCAAGATACAATATTCATAGGAAAATAGGCTTCCAGTATATTTACAGTCGTACGTTGGTTGCCAAACGCCTTGGAACTCGTACATTTTGGCTTCCGAACAATTGAAAACCTCCTGCAGCCAATCGGAAGCTGCTTCTTGGTTTTTGAATGGTTCTGGGAGTCGAATGGACTCCTGGAACGCATTCTGTTCGAGAACCAAGGTACAACTGTATGTGGAATAGAAAGGCCAGCCCCATGTCCTGTTCTCCATTAGTGTTTTGATGTGAAATGTGGTTAATGAAGGGAGATTGTCCAGTACTTTTGAGCTGCCAGTGGAAACACATGTTGCTACTTTGGCAGAGTGTGATTTGCAAATGTAGTATCTTCAGTGTTCTCTTGCTCTTCATAGGAAAGCATGGGATAGCAACATGTTTCTCAGAATGAGGAATATATTAGGGTCAAACAGGTCCTTCAGAAATGAACATACCCAGTCCTGTATGTGTGATATGGGACTGAAGCAATCAAAAAATATATAGTGCATCTCAGCATGTTAGCATTTGCCTTTTCTCTTTTTAGGAGTAGTGAATTGTTATGCATTTTCCCTTACAATCTCAGCTTCTTGATTCCTGGAGATCTTATGCGGTTGCTACTAATGATATTATGTTAAAAATGCTTGTTCCACAGACATTTACTAGGGTGAGAGAGAAAGGAATTTTGGGTATCCAAACTTTGCCCTTGATCCATGTGGAGAAGGATAATTACCGTAAATCACATTCACTTGCGCATAGTAAGGGAAGAGTAGTTAGTTCATACACAAAGAAACCACCCAACAATGCCGGGGAATAATTTTATTGGAGAAATAAGAATGTTACCCACAGTTCCAGTTGTAATGACACCATTTAAAACAGCAGTGTTGTATCACTATATACCCCTTCATGTTTGATGGTAATGCTATTAATGTTTCCTTATATTAATGTTTTGACTTCAACCCAGTAATGGCAAGCTTTAATTATTTCTGCATTGGATACTTATACACTGTGTTGTCTATCATTCTTGGCAGATATGATGGAAGAATTGCATAGCCTGGACCCACGACGGCAGGAACTGTTGGAGGCCAGGTTCACTGGAGCTGGCGTTGCAAAGGTTGGTATCAGCACAGCTCACTGACCAAAAGCATGTGCACACTCAGTAACCTTTCATTTGATGCTTGGTGGACTTATAATAATCTAAAGTGTCAACTTTTGGCATCTTTTGCTTGCTGTCATGGGGATGGAGAACACTCCTGAAGCAAAATGTATGTATGACCTCTAAATGTCCAGAAATCAAACATACTTCGAAAATAATCCGGCATTTCATGACCTCTGCAGCTTGTTTTGGAGTTGATGTGAAAAGTTCATAATATATGAGCAGTGAGCATTAGTAGAAGTTGAATGCTTTTTATCAGTTGAGTAATGAACTTATCTGGGAAGCTTGAGAAGTTACCTTCTCACACAATGCTAGACATTCCTATAACTAAAGTTTCTTTTCTGTCCTTATATCAAGTATCTGCTTTTGGTAACTTCTTTCATTCTTTGTTTTAAATCCCACAACAATGTTGATGGCATTCTCTTCCGTCAGCCATCTCCAGTTCTCTCAGTTTTCTTCTGTTTTCACTAGCATATCATAACACCATCCAAACTAAATGTTCAAGACTGAATTGCTCTGTGTTCCATCTTATTTTTATGGATGGAGTTGCATGTTGAATTGGTTGCAAAAATGGGATCCTGACATTCTTGGGATTCTTAGAAAAACAGCCCTCAGCGACAATAACAACTATAATTGGTTTTCAAAGTGCCTCAGGTTTTATAGGTGCTTCGAAAAGATTCAAAAACTACAACCCCTGCTCTTGGTCTTATAGTATAATGCAATAAAAAATAAAAGGAAGAGGCAACAACAAAATCAAAGGTAAACTGGTACCAGTTCTTCATAGTTCTAAATTCTTACAGTAGATGCAGATTATATAAATGCAAATGTTGGTGAAAGGTGAGTGTGGTAGTCCTCTGAGGCTAGAGGAGAGCCTGCATGCGATAATCCTTGGGTGGTACTCCTACTCAGAATAGATGCATTGAAATTAATTGACATAACTAATTTAGATTCATTGATATCCGTGGGGCTAATCTGAGTAGGATTTAGTTGAATACAACCCTGCTTGTGCTATCATGACAGCTGCTACTCACCCTAGGCAGGTAGCAAATAAGTCTGTGTTACATAGTTCCCATCACAGACATGTTGCTAGCCTGCTAATAATAGACTGGAGCAGGCATAGGCAAACTCGGCCCTCCAGATGTGTTGAGACTACAGTTCCCATCATCCCTGACCACTGGTCCTGTTAGCTAGGGATGATGGGAGTTGTCCCAAAACATCTGGAGGGCCAAGTTCACCTATGCCTAGACTGGAGGATTGTTGAAACAAAGTTTTTGTAGACCATATTTGATTTGGAACTGTCATCACTCGCTTTGGGTTTCATTAAGTTTGATTTTATGTGCAGCCAAGTTTAGCGTATTCATTTTTGCTCCATTAAATCTTGTCATGAGCTTATCATTTGGCTGTGCAGTATTTCAAGAATATTTTTTTTAAGCTTGTGTCTTGGGCTTTCTTAGTGAAAACATTTAGGGAATTAATAAAACAAGACAGTCTTGTCCCCCCCCCCAAAAAAAAAAAACCAGCTGGGAATTGGGGGACAATCAGGAATGTCATGCAGTTTTGGTTCACATGACTGCAATGAAGGTGGAATTGGCAATGCCTCCTTACCTCTTTGAGGGACAGTTTCTTATCTTAATTTTAGGTCTAATTTTGAGGTCCAGGTTGCTCCACTCCAAAGAAAGAAAGAAAAAGATTCAAATTCCCAAGATGGCCAAAATGGTACTACTTTGGTATTTTATTAATAATAATGGTGTATACATTTTGTTGTTATTATTTCAACTTATTAGTTGCTTGGCAGAAAAAAGTCTCCAAGCAATTTACAAAATGAGAAAGCAAAATGCAAAGCATAAGATCAGAAAAAGAGCAATCCATTGCAGTAAAAACCATACAATACAAACAAATCCAATAGAGCATCAGCAAAAAAACGTACCATCAATAGTCAGCAATATCATCCTCATTTGCCAAGTAGCTGGGAGTAGAGAGATTTTACCTGGAGCTGGAAGGGTGTTAATGATGGCAGCAGGTGGGCATCACTAGCAAATGTTGTACTTAACACGAATCAACTTAGCCACTGTGTGTGTTTTGGAGCTTCATGTTCCTTTTTGTATTTATTCTAAACGTCTTCAAGGGAAATATGATGAACTAAATCCCCCACTTTCTTTCAAAGATCTCATTGCTGTTGGTTCGTGTGTATAGGCTCTCAAGTCTTTGTAAATCTTCTGTTAATAGTCTGTGCGCTGACTTGCGTGTCAACATTAACCTTACTTTAACAATTAAATTTGCCTGCCAGATCCATCTGAGACTCCCAAACGTAAAACATTCCCACGGTATTACAGAGGTCTTATGGGAAAACTTCACGTTATTAAAAATACACAAATTGTTGTTAAAAAACAGATGTCCACCATCTTTTGAAGACTTTTGAATGATAGGATATGGTTGGTGAGATAAGCTTGTATGTGTGAACTGAAAGGGAACGTAGGGAGAACTCGCCCTATTTGCCAAGCCGAGCCTTTTCCCTGATGTATTAATCTGCAAGAATTTTTTGGGTTAGTTATGTGAGGCCCTCATCTTGGATCTGAAGTAACATAGTCAAGACACAAGTATACCACCTGAGTGGAGTTTAAGGCCAAAATGTTTCTCTGCAACCAGAAGGACATTTTTATTTAGTGCTTGGGCATCTGGTGCAGTTCTGCTGTACAGCTTGTTGTGTAATTGTAGCCAATTCTTCCTTGTATATAAAGATAGGAATTGGCACTTAGGTGAGAATATTCCTGTTGCTTGAGACTCCTGTTGGTAATGGGAGACATAGGTATTTATGCTCTGATGGCTACGCAGAGATTAATGTTTTTTCGTTTTCCCAGGACCACTGCAGGGTCCTTCGTTTTTTGTGTATCTATTCTCAGCATAGATATAATAGGCATGCCACCTTCCTTTTTGGTGTACTGTTTGATCTTTTTCTTTTAAAGGATTTGATTTGATTTTAATATTGTATAATTATTGCATGGTTGTAGCCCATCCTGCGATCTTGTAGTAAAGGGTGGGCAAGAAATCTGTTTAAATATATAACACCCTTCCCCCACTAGGAACAGATGGCAGTGGTGCCCAACATAATGTCAGGATGCAAGTGTCCTTGTGTCACCAGTGCTCCTTAAAAGCTTTTACATCAGTTTTTACACAGACAGGTTTAACCAAGTAAATGCAAGTTTTGTTTCATCCTAAGCTTATAGCATGGGGAGGCAAATTAAAGCCCGGGGGGCCGGATGCACAGTCACCTTCTAAATCCGGCCCATGGACGGTCCAGGAATCAGTGTGTTTTTACATGAGTTGAATGTGCCCTTTTATTTAAAATGCATCTCTGGGTTATTTGTGGGGCATAGGAATTCGTTTATTTCCCCCCAAAAAAATATAGTTGGGCCCTCCACAAGGTCTGAGGGACAGTGGACCGGCCCCCTGCTGAAAAAGCTTGCTGACCTCTGGCTTATAGTCTTCGGTTCAGGTGGTAGGTACCCTGGAAATACTTTTTGCATCCAGTACCAGAAGTGGATATGGGAAGGGAATTGCACACGTGCAAAGAAACCAGGAGCTAGTTAGCACCAACAGAATTTCCTGTGATAGGTTTTGGCACTATGCTGTCCAGCATTAGAACTGAGATTTTTGTAAATGCACCAAAGAAAGAGACGATTACTTTAATTTCTCATTTGTAGACAGTTCATTGCACTGAAAAGGGATGCAACAAGTCTGAGTGGGTGGGTGGGTGGGTTGCTTTTCTGGGGAGTTATAACCATTTTCCGCAAAATAAATATACTTTCACTTTTTTGTCTATTTTGCCAGGGGCCCCTGAACAGTGAATCTTCCAATCAGAGTTTGTGCAGTGTGGGCTCTCTAAGTGACAAGGAGCTGGAAGTAAGTGAACCTGGTGTTTACTGGGCAGGCTGTCCTGGGGTCAAACCAGAAGATACCTGATTACTGTCAACTATGTGAAAATAGTCAGGGTTCCATTCCAGCAGTAGAAAATATGCCACCTTTTGGACTCTCTAATTCAAATAGCCTCAACAAAACTCAAACAATTTAGCCCTCGGGAAGGTGCAAGGCAGTGATCTTAACTCTCAAGTGCTTTGCAGTCTTCCTTAATGGAGTTAATTCATTTTTGGTGTAATACTTGCAGTTAGTGGGGGTGCAGTGGTCACTGATTTCATGTTCCATGGTTGCATTTAAAACTATCAAAGAGGGAAAACATAACCCTCTGTATTTACAAACTGAGAAGTCTGCCAGGGGGTTTTGAATTTCATAGTATGCTTTGATGCTGATATACCTGCAGAAATTGATTTGGGATTTGTTTTTCTCCCCCTTAAGACTCCAGAAAAAAAACAGAATGACCAGCGCAACAGGAAGAGGAAAGGGGAATCCTTTGAGACCAACCAAGGTAAGCTGTGCTTTAGGCCCCCTAATTAAGATCTCCAAACATTCAGTAATGAGCACAGTTGTTTGAGAATTCTCTTTTCCCTTGATATCATTGAGTCTGACTCAAAGGTGTATTGGGCAACTTGTTATGATCTTGAGCTTCGAGCAGCACCCTTCCCTTCAGGGAAAATTTGCCGTCTGCATTATAAGACAAACATTTTTAGTCCTGAGGCGGTCTTATTGCGATGTTCACCTGCATCTGTTTCACTACATGCACATGTCACATTTGGGCATGGTTTTCCAGTGGCTGCTTGGCAAAGATAGTCACTTGCAGTGATCACACATCTCTATCACACATGATTTTCACAATACTTGAGGCACTGAAGTAAAGGTAAAGGGACCCCTGACCAATAGGTCCAGTCGTGACCGACTCTGGGGTTGCGGCGCTCATCTCGCTTTATTGGCCAAGGGAGCCGGTGTACAGCTTCCAGGTCATGTGGCCAGCATGACGAAGCCACTTCTGGTGAACCAGAGCAGCGCACGGAAACACCGTTTACCTTCCCGCTGGAGCGGTACCTATTTATCTACTTGCACTTTGACGTGCTTTCGAACTGCTAGGTTGGCAGGAGCAGGGACCGAGCAACGGGAGCTCACCCCGTCGCGGGGATTCGAACCGCCGACCTTCTGATCGGCAAGTCCTAGGCTCTGTGGTTTAACCCACAGCGCCACCCGCGTCCCTGAGGCACTGAAGTACTTCCATGTAAAAATAATAATAATGGTTGAAATAGCCCTTAGGAATCCATCAGAAGTTGGTATATTGGAGAATGTAGACCTAAATTGTGAGGAAGAGTAAAAAATGTCCCTTTTTATGCTTCCTTTCTTAAGTGGTCATTTTTGGTGTTGACAAAGCATCCAGAAGCACCTAATCCCAAGAATCATGTGGAGCAACCTTTGCATATTCTGGAATCGTGGCCCATACTGATGACACTTCCTACTCAGTCCCCATTATGGTTGCTCCTTGTCCACCCACTTCTACCATGCCCTCCCCCATCCATCCTCAGTTTCTTTTATGTGCCTCTTCCAAGAACCTTTGCACTCATGCACATACATTCTTTGAGCTCTTGTCAGTTGTACCTCCGTTGCCACTTGCTCCTTTTGCTGTTCTGTGTGTGCTCACATGCACACATGTCTTTCTCCTTTTCTCCAACATGCTTTTGGAGGAGCGACAGAGAATCTTCGAGAATAAGTGTTGCATTTCAGATAGTCCCTTGGTAACCATCCCCAAACTGTGTCATTTCAGAGGTTGGTCCTAATTGGTATTTATTCTGCATCAACACAGAGGCTCTGTCTCATTCTGGTCTACTACTCTGACACACACCATCTGAAGTGTGAGGAGGGAGTCCTCCTAAAATGTAGCTGTCATTTACATGAAAAGTACATGCACAATTCTCACTTAAAGAAGGAAACCAGCTGTGCAGGATCCTTTTTTCCCCTCACAAAAAACATCAACAGTCTTACATGTTAAGAGGAGCAGAATGCTACAGCACATGGATAGCTGAGTCTGGAAATTCCCTTTTAATAAACAGGCACATCCATAATCTTTGGTACTACCCAATTCCCTTCTTATCTCAAAACCAAGAAGAATTAAACCCTGAAGCATGAGAGTATTTTGATTTTGAAGGCTTAATACCACCTGTTGTTTTTTTTCCTTCCAGGCAAAGTCACTCCAAGGGGACATAAAATTAGTGATTATTTTGAGGTAAGTCCAGTTTTACATGTAACTTTTTCAGAAAATGATGTCCTTGTAAATTCTTTCCATGTAGGTTAGAGACAGGGACTCTTCTAAATAATATGTAAACATCTTAGAGAGAAGGCCCTTGCAGTTAAATGACTAAATTTTCTAGGGAACTGTCTTCTTTATATTTTTTAAAATATTTAAGGGCAAAAAAATCCAGAGCTTAATTTTAGCTGTTCCCTTGTGTGCATAGTATTATGTGCCCCAGTTTCTATGCACCTGTGCAATGTGCTTTGCTCTGTGAAACTTTCACAGTATTTCTATGAACTTACTGGTCTACTTTTTTTGTCCCCTCCAAATTTTAGTTTGCTGGGGGAAGCGGTCCAGGAACAAGTCCTGGAAGAAGCGTGCCACCTGTTGCACGATCATCGCCACAGCATTCCTTATCAAATCCTTTACCTGTAAGTATTCACTTGAAGGGACAGAGTGTGGGCTTTTGTGAGTAATGTGGCACCCTGAAATGGGTATCATTTCTATATATTGCTTTATTAAAGCTCATTTTGAGACTTAAATTTAAGCAACGTTTACAGTCCTAATAGGTGGTGGTTCAGAAATGGTAGTAATGCAAAGCTCCCAGGGTTCAGGTGGTGGGATCTGAATGCTCCCTTTAACATTTCCTCTACCTAAATTCTTACTCCTGCTGTCTTTGCTGTCTATGTCTAACCCAGTGTTGGGCTCTGTTTGATTAAGGTGTGTGTGCAGTAGCTAGGCCCCAGGTAATCTTCAAAGGAGGAGGCTCATACATACGAACGAGATGTGGCAGGAACTATATTTCTAGAAGAGTGAAGGCCAATCAAAAGTTGAAAACCACCATGACTCAACATTTCAAGGGCATAGGGCAAGATAGAAATCTTCTTAGCACTGCATTTCCTTCTCCTGCCCATGTAAAATTTAATGGCAGTGTCTATTATCCATTGCTGTAAATAACTACACAGAAATGACAAATGATGTGATTTTGTCATAAGGTAGCTTGAGCTAGAAGTACCATTACTAATCCTAGGACAAATAATTTAACAAAGAGGTTTGGTCTGAGCACATCACCACACCTTTCTGTGTCTTTGGCAATTTTTTTAAAAGGATTCTAAATTGCTCAGGAACAAGTTTTAGAAGAGGCAGGTTAGGGAAGTTATGGGTTTGCACCAGAGGGGAATGGGAATGGGACTACCATGATGGCAAATGGAGGTAGATACGGAAGCAAACTTAAGATATACAGTGGTGGGGAGTGCTTGTTACATCAAAGCCCTTGCTCCCTCTGCTTTGCCTGCTGTGCTTCAGAGTCGGGGGTTGCTAGTCAGCTCACCTGGTGGTGGTGGTAACTGCCAAGTCTGTCCAGAATAAAACATCTGTTGTCCACAATTTAATAGCAGGGGCTGAGTTGGCATTCATAACTGAGAGCTGGGCAGATGAGCTTGGTGGCCCTGTGCTACTGCAGCTACGTATGTCCACCTGGGTACTTGCTGCAGCACCATTAAGGTCAGAGGGGCGGTGAGGGAGAGTCAGAATCATCCTCACTAGGAGGACAGTCCACACTGTGTCTGAATTTGAGGGATTGCTTGTGTGGGCGGAACAGGGATTTTGTTGGTGTGGCATCCACCTCACTGTATTACAGCCTTCCTAACTGAGCTGACAGAGGTAATCTGAGATGTGGAAAATCCATGGTTCTAACTATGGAAAGGGGGCATACAAATACAAATAAAATGATGAAGTTGATGGAGTGGGGGGAGGGGAATGACAACTCCTAAATTGTGGAATTCCCTCCCCACATAGGTGCATCTGGCACCTTTCTTGGATATGTTTTGTTGTATGCTGAAGTCGCACCTGCTTATCCTATCTGTTGACACTATATTTTAAGACCCCCTCTAGTTGTGATTGTAATTTGTTTCAAACTGGTCCTTCGAGCTGCATTTTATATTGCTGTAACCCACCCTGATCAGAAGGTCAGCGGTTTCGAAATAGCCACGACGGGGTGAGCGTCCGTTGCTCGGTCCTGCTCCTCGCCAACCCTAGGCAGTTTGAAACCGCACGTCAAATGTGCAAGTAGATAAATAGGGAAGGTAAACGGCGTTTCTGGTGTGCTGCTCTGGTTCGCCCGAAGTGGCCTTTCGTCCATGGCTGGCCACATGACCCACGAAAGCTGTACGTCGGCGCTCCCTTGGCGCAATAAAGTGACGATGGAGCGCCACAACCCCAGAGTCCAGCCATTGACTGGACCTAATGGTGCAGGGACCCTTTACCTTTTACCCACCCTGGAAACCTTCTGGTAGAGGGCACATAATAAAATGCCTATTTTTTTTATAAAAGACAGCCTTATAAAACCAACATCTAAGTTACTTGTTTTTACAGTTTACCTCCAGACTAGAAGAATTGAAAAGGAATGTTTTATTACAACCTCAATTGCACATTTATCTTCTGCAGGATATAATATTCTCAAAAAGTAATTCTGTACATGCAAATAGTGAGCAAGCATGTAATTGTCATTTGCATGCGTGTTGACAAATGGCAGGGTCAGCTTTTAACTTCATCGTTTTTAGGAGGTATGGTGTATGTTTTTCCCAATGTTGTATACATGTATCATTGGAAGGATGTCCTGTTTTCTGTTTTTATAGGAAACATTTGCAAGATTTGGGTTTGGTTTTTTCAGGGCCCAAGCTGAGCATGGTAGAGATGAGCACACTTTACTGGGTCTAGAGGATCTAGCCTGGACTAGCCTCATTTCCCCCCTCATGGTGAAGTGCTGATCATGCTTGAAGTTCATCCAAGCTTATTTCCCTATATCTGTGTGTCTGTATAATATGCCTAGTTTTTGTAAGAAGCGTTAGAGCCAATCAGAAGCAGTGTTAGAACAAGGAACAGTGAGCTGTTGTTCCAGGCCCTCCTCTTGAATGAGAGGGAACTTCAGCTCATGTCATTTGAGAGACAGAGGTATGCTATCTCAAAAACTACAAGTCCCCTCCTGTGCAGGCAGGAGGTGTGAACAAGGATGTGGCAACCAAGAAGCACCATTAAAAATTGGGTGCAGTGGTAGTCAAGTAATGCTGATAGAATTTGCAGGTTCCCAAACATATGAGAGTAAATAGACCCCATGTCATTTCAGCGTAAAGGAAAACTGGCAGTGGTACTAGACGTCATTCATGAACAGGGAAAAAGGACTAAAGCATATTTGTTAATGCCAATGAACCTAGATCTGGCTGTTCATTCAGATCAAGCAACCAGAGATGTAAGACAGTTAAGCAAAGGGAACTAAAAGAAGCTGAATGACACCAATCAACCTTACGTGTTTTAAGGAGTTGAGGCCTTTCTTTGTCACTTCTTCAAAAGAGACAAGTCTGCAGGCAGGGTGTGTGTGAGAGAGTGAGAGGAGGGCCCATGTTGCAACTTTGCACCAACCTAGAGAAATTATGCTTGGCAGTCTCTTCCATCATGTTGTGATGCCTTTTCCCCTTCTGTTCTCATTCAATACATAGAGATATGTTTTGCCTGGACAAGAGGAGACTTGGGTGGGGGCAGAATGTGATAGCAACACTCCTCTACCTGATAGACTATTCTATTGGAAAGGGTAAAAACTTGTTCTCTGCTGCCACAGAGAGCAGGACAAGATCTAACAGGTTCCAGTTAAGAGAGGGTACATTTTGGTTTAACATTGGGAGCAGCTTCTTAACAGTAAGAGCAATACAGCAATAGAACTAAATGCCTGTGGTGTAGCATTTGGAGGAGAGGTGGTTGGGAAGCCTGTGAGTCTGAGGCTCGGTACTTTTCTTCCACCTAATACCATAGGTTTCCATTGTGCCCAAAAAGGTGCAAAGGCATTAGGGACTGTGTCTTTTATTTTCCTAGTAGTAATGGGGCCGCTTTTGGTAGCTAGATCACACGCTTCCTCGCTCCCTCCCATTGCATCTCCTCGCTGTTTCCAAGCTGCCGTATTTACTAATGCATGGATCAGATTTGTTATCTATGACCCTACCTCTCCCTCCTTCTTTTCTCTTCAAAGTATCTTGTGGTTTTCTTTAAATGTATTACAGCGGCGAATGGAGCAGCCGCTTTACGGGGTAGACAACAGCGCAGCCAAGGAACTGCAGGAGGATCACTCTGCTCTGCCAACGCTGGTGTCGGCGATGCTGGCGAAACAGCGGCTAGAGGGCGAGCAGCTGGCCCAGAGGGGTGCAAGCCTCTGTTTTCCATTTTCTTCGGTGAGCATGGTCTTAATGGCCACACCCAAGGGGGTCTGAATGGGTCTGACATGGGTGGATAGCATCCAATCCCCCCCCCACATCTGTATGGCCCCCTTATTAGAATGTCAGTTTTCTTTCTTTTCTTCAAATTCTAGTCCTCAGTGGTTGCAGCTTGTGACACCAAAACAGCTAAAGGTTTTAGCTTTTCTTTTTTTCTCTCTAGGAAGTATTCTTCCCCCCAAACCCTACTTAAGTGACCCCACCTTGAGGTACTCCTTTCTCTGGGGCCTCTTCTCCCTCCCATTTTCCTTGCTTTACCTCTCTCCCATCCCTTCATGGTGATGAAATGGAGCTGCCCATTTCTAAATGGAACACAAATTGAAGTTTAGAGAATCACAGCTTTTCCAGTTCTCATGATTTGAAAGACCAATATACTAAAGGTTTTTTTGTTATTTAATGGTTTCATCTTCAAGATATGGTAGCATAGTCAATTCTTTTGCAGGAGTGGCTCAGTGGCCATCACATGTAAGTTCGGCACGTTGATTAAACTAGTAAGTAGCAACTAAAATGGGCAAGATGGCTTCCAAGGTAGCGCTTGGCTTTGAACAAGTTGTGTGCTCCTTTGCTCTGACAATTACAACTTCAGATTGTGAAATGTAACCTAATCTTATTTAGAAGGCCAAGTGCTTCAACTTCAAAATGTTTATTTCTCATGATTCACACACCCCTCTTTTCTGCAGTGTCTCCTAAGATTCCACATTGAAATGCATCCATAGAAAGAATCTGTACAGGCTTATTAATTGCAAAGCAAATTGCATTTCTAGGGTTGTCATTCGAGCCTCTTAGCTCCAACAGCTAAATCTTTGTGTCACTGCCCCAGACCCCAGGCATTTGCCAAAGAAATGCATTCATGACTTTACAAACAATTCATTTTCTTAAAAGCATTTTGGCTCTTTCCCTGGAAATGATCTCTAATGTGCTTTTTAAATCATCTTAACTGTAGGTTGGGTCCAGATGTAGTTAGTTGTTCATTTTGTCCCATTGCAATCGAGGGGGATTTAATTAGTCATGACTAGCTTATCCCATTGATTTTATGGAAATAAAGTGTGACTTAATCAGGACCTAGCCCTGTGCATGTGATCAGACAGACTTTGAAACATAAGAACATAAAAAGAGTCTGCTAAATCAGGCCAGTGACAAGCATCCTGTTCTCACAGTGGTGGAACAGATGCTTATGGGAAACCAGTAAGCAGAATTCAAGCACAAGAACACTCTTCCCAACTGGTATTTGGTAGCATTGCTGCCTCCAACAGTGGAGACCATAGCCATCATGGCAAGAAGCCATTGATAGCCCTGCGCTCCATGAATTTGTCTAATTCTCTTTTAAAGCCTTTGAAGTTGGTGGCCATCACTGCCTCCTGTGGGAACTGCATTGTGTAAAGAAGTACCGTATTTTTTGCTCTATAAGACTCACTTTTTCCCTCCTAAAAAGTAAGAGGAAATGTGCGTGCGTCTTATGGAGCGAATGCAGGCTGCGCAGCTATCCCAGGAGCCAGAACAGCAAGAGGGATTGCTGCTTTCCCTGCTCAGCGATCACTCTTGCTGTTCTGGCTTCTGGGATTTAGAATATTTTTTTTCTTGTTTTCCTCCTCCAAAAACTAAGTGCGTCTTGTGGTCTGGTGTATCTTATGGAGCAAAAAATACGGTACTTTCTTTTATCTGTCCTGAATGTTCATTGGATGTCCACAAGTTCCAGCGTTATGAGAGAGGGAGAAAAACTTTTCTCTGTCCACTTTCTCCATGGCATGCATGGCTTTATAAACTTCTTTGGTGCTTTATAAACTTCTTTGGTGTCGCCTTTTCTGTAAAATAAAAAATCCCAAACACAGCTCCCTTTCTTACTAGGGGAGGGAACCTGCAGCACCCTGGCTCTATTACTGCCGATGCTAATTCTGTTTCCTTGGAAATATGAAACCTGCTGCCTATCAGAATTGACAGCACTCAACTAGGCAAGATAAGATTGCTTTCTTTAACCTTAGGTAACAGCTGGGAAGAGTGTGTGTTTGACATAATGCTTTGCCATCCTATTAATTTACAGCCCATGTCCTTCATTTACTCCTTTTCTTGCAGGCCCAGCAAGGCAGTCCTTCTTCAACGGGTTCAGGGAACACAGAGCATTCCTGCACCTCCCAAAAACAGATTTCCGTCCAGCATAAACAGACACAGGTATAAAACCGATGAACAACATACTGCAATGTCTGTGTTGTATCTTGCTTGCGTCAAACACATATCATTGGAGAAATAATGGAGGGCAATGAGGTAGTGACATAGCTATGCCAGAAGAAGGCTGGTGTTTATTCCATTATCAGTTGTTTCCTTCTAAGTGCCTTCAGCCTTAGGGATATTGTTGGCTTATTCAAAACAATGTGTTTTGGTCAGCAGATTTCCAGAGGAGATGCTATTTTTCTTGACTCCAGCCTCCCACCATTGTCTTGTTCTTCTTTTTCCCCCCAGTGGTAGACAAAGTTGTCTTTTATTTTGCTGTTCATTTGTTTATTTTAAAATGCTGCTGTCCTTCAACCCTGACTCCTTTTGCAAAATGGGTGCACGCTGTCTGAACAATTCTGAGTGCTGTGATCTGCATCTGGCGTTTCCAACACATGCAGCACCATGCCCAAAAGAAAGAATCTGACTGCACATGGGATTTCCATGTGTTCTTCAAAATTCCTATTTGTACTAAGAGGCCTCTGATTAGGGCAACCATATAAAACGATGGCTTTCAAACTTTTAGGACCCTTACACATGGATTTTTCTGCTGAGGATCCCATGTGCATCTGTCCCTTTAAATTGTAGATGAGTCTGGGATGTGCAAAGAGGGGTCCCCAGCCTTTGGGGCTACACCATTGCACTGTGGAGGTGAGACAGCTGCCCAGAACTCATCCTTCTGGTTATATAACAGAGGGGGAATTTGGTATTGGTGGATAAAGCTGCCTTTCAGGGAAACGAGAATCCCAGATTCTGATCTTCTCATTGAAGACGATAAGATCTTGTGAAACCCAGCCGTGGTTTCAGTTTTTAAGCTTTGTGGCATTGCTGCATTTTGACAAGGTGACCAACCGAAAATAGGTAGAAAGAGACCAATACCCCCTGAAAGGTAGGCTGCTTTTCTGAGGGGAAAGTGGCTTGCGCAAAGGCACACCAGTATGTATGGCTATAACACGATTTGGGAGAAGCGTGATTAAAATCTTCATAGGCAAGGCATGTCAGCTCCACACAATCCTACCCACCCTGCCTCTCATACCCTTTATAGATTTAGTGTGCTGAGCGACAGTGGTGTGATTCTGTTTTTCCTACAAAGTTTCAGGGAATACAAACTATGCCCTAAGATAGAGGTGGGGAACCTGCAGCTTTCCAGATGATGGTGGACTAAATCTCCCACCATCCCAAACCATTAGCCCTGCTGTCTGGGTTTAATGGGGGTTAACATCTGGAAGACCACAGGTTCCCCGGCCTGTATGGCTTGTTGCTTGCTTTCCCCCCCATGACCCCGCATCACTGGGATTAGAATGGAGTTCTGCCAGCTTTTTTCCCCCCTTAGGGACCAGAGAAGGCTTTTATGACAGATGTGAAAAGATTTCAGCTCCGGTTGTACCATTTGCCTGATGTTTTGGTTTGCTTTTTGTAAGGGAAAACAATTTCTCCATAATTTTAGGTTGTTCCATTCATTGGTCACGAAGGAACAAAAGACTCATGTTTGACATGCTTTTCTGTCCCTAAAACACCCAATCACCTTTTGGGTGATTTGTCACATTGAGCTCTTTCCCTCTTCCTCCTGCAGTCTGATCTCACGGTAGAAAAAATATCTGCACTAGAAAACAGTAAGAACTCTGACCTGGAGAAGAAAGAAGGCAGGATAGATGACCTATTGAGAGTAAGTACACTTGTAAACTCTACTAAAAATAATAATATTTTTTTAACACATAGAGCGGTAACGTAAAGTGAGAGAATGGAACTTGTTAGTATAATGGAATTAAATTGTAGATGGGCTAGGATTTCTTGAAGCACCCAACCATGTTCTTGCAGAACCCGATTATTCCAATGAAGAATTTGTTTTCTATTCAAACAACCTTTTTTTTATATAAAAAAAAATTATTATGACTACACTACTTAATACAAATGTGAAATGACTAAAATTCCTCCATGGCCCAACAGTTGAACACTGTGGTGCCTTCTATGTTCTCTGGTACTATATTTTGACAACTACAGCATCTTCATCATTTCCCTCTCTGCCTGCATGCCGTTCAGGTGAGATTTTGGCTGTTCTCTGTTTGGCTACCTTCTTAGCATTACTTCTATTTTCAGGCGAACTGTGACTTAAGGCGACAGATAGATGAACAACAGAAAATGCTTGAGAAGTACAAAGAACGGTTGAATAGATGTGTGACAATGAGCAAGAAGCTTCTTATAGAAAAGGTAAGTTTTGGCTTCCAAATTGCCCTTTACAACCTTCTCACCTTTGCCCTCTTCTCTCCTCCCAGCCCTTCAGTTCTGTGCATTTTGTTGTAACTTGCATACTTGGGGGTATTGATGAACACATTAATTGGAGTAAAGATTGCACAAATGTACTGGGCCCACGAGGACATTGTTTTATCATATTCATATGGACATGCGTGCAAAGGTATATTATACTGAGTCAGATCGGCTTGAGTCCACCCTGGCACTTTCTGCAAAACACTTCCTCTGCTTTTGAGCTACTGTCCCCCTCAACATTTTTATTGTAGTATAACTACCACCATCTTTTATGAGCATTGCTTTTGAGTATGCCCCTTCCTAGTGACCTCCGCTATATCCTGGAGACCCACTGAAAATCCTAATTCAGACGTTGTCACATGGAGGTGCATTTAGAACAAATGCTCACCATCACCAAAAGTTATTTTTGGGTTGTGGAGTCAAATTTGTAATGACATTTACAACACTAGAGAGGTGAGCAGTGAAACTTGCCAAACCTCAAAACCAGGCTGTGTTGCATCAGGAAGACAGTGTGGCTTGGGCTGTGACGTTTATTACAGTGGGGTAGCCATTGAGAACATCTCTTGCTGTTTAGAATTAATGCATGGATAAAGAACCACTTTTTTTCCTCCTCCTTCAGCTCTGGCCTAAAAGGCCCTGGCTTGAATTGTATTCAAAAGGCTGTAAGCTACCATTCATTTTCATGGAAATCTCCCATTTTGTTCCCTCCCAGGCATATGCATGCAGCACTTTTGGTTTGAATGTGTGTATGTAGCCCTTTTTCTTTCTTTACAAAGAACCAGTTGCTAAGCCACATGTAAGGGACCAGATGCAGGCCACAGGTTTGCACATGACACACTACTTTCTACACTTGAGTGTTAAACTTTGCATCATTCATATTTTCGGTCCTCATGGACTGACTAGCAGTGTGGTGAACCCCAGTTGTAGCAGCGTTGATTCATACTATCCTTCTCTCCCTAGTCAAAGCAGGAAAAGATGGCATGTCGAGATAAGAGTATGCAGGATCGGCTGAGACTGGGTCACTTTGCTACGGTGCGGCACGGAGCGTCTTACACTGAGCAGTGGACAGATGGCTACGCTTTCCAGAACCTTATCAAGTAAGTGCCGTAACTGCAACTTCTGCCTTTTCTCATGGCGGCAAAGTGTACAGGCAGTTACTTGACTTGTCCTTTTCATGAATCCATATGTAACTAAGGTGCTTCTACAAAACGTGTACATTTTTTAAAGAACCCTGTTTGCCAGGACTCAGGGCAGGTGACATACTTAACAATAGGGTTGCCATATTTCCAAAATCCGGACAAAGTTGTTAAATTGTGTTTTTTTTTGGGGGGGGGGAGGGATGTACTTTGCTAAGTAATAGTATTGCTGCACAAAGCCATGAGCTGTAGAACTGCATATACAATAACACGTCTTAAATATATGTTGAGATACACCTGTATTTACCACTGATCAATAGATGCCCCAATAAACACTGCCTCATGAAGAGGCATTCTAACACTTAAATATACAGTATTATAAGGGTGAAAACCAGGAGTAGCAGGTGACAACCTGCAGATTTGGTAGAGTAAGTCAAGGCATGTGCAAGCCTCCATCACACCTTTATAAAACTTGCCATTGCCCCCTTCCTGATAGAGTGGTATTCATGTGATCACAACAGTTGCATCACTGTCACTTGTCCCAAGTTTTATACATTGCAAAAATTCAGGGTTGTATGTTTTCTGTAACATAGAATATGGTATGTTGTAGCAAATATGACCAGAAACCAACACTTCTAATATGCTTGCCCAGGAATGCAGAAGATGAGCCACTTCTCTGTGTCACGTATTATATTTTGTTCTCTAATTTGTGTGCATGTCCTGCTTTTGTTTAGGCAACAAGAGAGGATAAATTCCCAAAGGGAAGAGATAGAAAGGCAACGGAAAATGTTAGCAAAGCGGAAGCCACCTGCCATGGGGCAGGCCCCTCCAGCAACCAATGAGCAGAAGCAGCGTAAAAACAAGACAAATGGAGCAGAAAATGAAACGTAAGTGCTGCAGAAAAAAATTCAGGTTGCTTTCTATGAGTCGGTTGAAATGCAGAGAATAGCTTATGGCTGAAGTTCTCAGGTTTTCCACAGTAGATCTCCCCAAAACATACAAAATTATTGGAGCCTTTTTTCTGCAGTCCACCTGTTGTTTTAAAATAATTAGTAGTTGGTTTGAAAGTGTTGCTGTTAATATTTGGCTTTGCCTCAGCCACAAACTTGCTTCTATTGGAAAAGGTACTTCTGTTTGTGCAAGTACACACACCGAATTCCACATCATGCAAAGTAAGTACAGTGGTACCTCTAGTTGCGTTCCGCTCTTGTTAAAGACTTTCAGCTTACGAACGTGGCATGTTCGCCACATGCACATGCGCAGAAGCGATCTTCACGCATGTGCAGAAGCGCTTGATTGTGCCGCACAAATGCCCAGAAGAGGCACTCTAGTTGTGGACTTTTCGGGGTGTGAACGGCACCTTGAAACGGATTAAGTCCACAACTGGAGGTACCACTGTACAGTACTGCCCTTTCTCATAAAGTGATGGACGAAAACTGGCAAGACAGATATTGTACTCTGCCTAGTAAAGGCTCAGTTTAATTGACACTCAGTTACAATCTGCCCGTGTCCCTCTGCTCAGCACCTCTCCTGCAGAGAGAGATGCAAAAGTTCTTTGAAAAACATAGTGATTAGCCTGGAGGAGGAAGTGGAAAAATCAAGTGCTTTTGGCGAGGAGGGAGCACTTCTGAAGTGAAGCAGATGAAGGAGGCTTAGAATAACAGAGAGTCAGACAGCTTCTTAGAAGGGCTACATTGTGGGTCTTCCTTAAAAGAGCAACATCTTCTAGGTGGGGGGGTGTTTCTCTGTAGATGGGTGAGGGAAATAAATCGAAGACGGAGGATCTGTGTGAATGAGAGGAAGGGGGTGGTGACATAGATAAGATGTCTGGGGTGGTGTTAGCACCCTGTGCTGGCATTTGGCCTCTTACACATTAACCCCAAAGGAATGCATCCCTGGGCAATGGGTGAGGGAGGTTCCTCACCTGTGCCCTAGTAAGTGTGGAGCCTTAGTTGGGGCAGTCCCTTAATGCTTGGAAGGGCAGAGTGATGGATGCCATGCACAAGAGGAGAGGGGACTTAGTTCAGTGATCGAGCATAAGATTTTTAAGTGAAACACACACCATCAATCCTTGGCACCACTGATGTTGTTTTTTAAGACATTCACAGCAGAGCTGGGAAACACACTTGCCTTGATTGCTTTGAGTGCTGGTAGTCATACTAGATAATATTGGGCTGTGTTTGAACCAGTGGCCTGACTGCTGTATTCAGAAGGCATAGGAAACCCCAGTAAAGAGTTACAAAAATGAAAAGGTAAAAACAGGAATGGGTCCCAGGCCTGTCGTCTTCTTTTTTGTCACCTGCCTCTATTTGTTCTTCAGAGTAATCTTTTGGACCACTTATTTTGTGCACGTGCAGGTTAACGTTAGCAGAATATCATGAACAGGAGGAAATCTTCAAACTCCGGCTAGGACATCTTAAAAAGGTAAAATATTGTATTGCAAAATGACTTCAGATAGGCAGTGGTTTCAGCTGCCATCTTGTGTTTTGTGTCTGTATGACTCTTCAGCATTAATCCCAAAGCAGTCTAACACCCCTTGAAGTGACCGAAATACTACCTCTTATAAACAACATTCTCGCTTGTGCACATTGCAGGAGAAGATTGGGAGCAACGGGCAAGCTCTTTTCAGGGGAAGCTTGTTTTCTTTTTACTGATCGTCTCATTTTGCTTAATCAGATGAGCTTGATCAACACACTGTTGTAAAAGCAATGATTTGAATAGGTTGATTCCCACAGCAATGAAATAAGAAATAGAACTGTCCGTGGCATTTGTTCCTTTCCAGTGCCTCAGTTCTTAGCCCAGTAGCTGTGAAATAGACTAGAGCTTTCCACACTGCTCAGACAATCCTGTTCTAGTAGCGCTGTATTCTGTCCCCAAAGGACTGATCTCCTGAGTCATTTTGCCCTGATTGTGCTGAGCATGTCACTATCATCTAGTCCAGAGAAGTAAAAGTCTAGGCCTGAGGATTGTTTCACAAGAAAAGCATGTTTATTGAGATGGAAGGCGTACTTACTATAACTGGTTCACATTGAATCATCTCAGCAGGGGCGACAGGGAGGAACAAGATACAACCCTTAATTTTAGGAGTTCAAAGCCATAGTAGTCATGTACATTTTCTGAACACCATTATAATCTGTAAAAATGCTTAACTTTTCCCCTGCCTGCAACTGCTTTGTTGTTCAAGACAAACATGTTCCTTTCGTCAGGTATACAGAGTTTAAATTTAACTTTTGGTATAGCTGTTAAAGTGATGTTTTTCTTTGTGTAGGAAGAAGCAGAGATCCAGGCAGAACTGGAGCGGTTAGAGAGGGTTAGAAATCTACATATCAGGGAATTGAAAAGGATACATAATGAAGATAATTCACAGTGAGTATTGGGCATGAGAGAGTTGCTCAAAGTGGCAAGGCACCAAATAGCTACAAAATGTCTTTTTTACTTAAGAGTGTGTAGCGGACTTACCACTTAATACCAACAATTAATAATGCGGCGGATTAATACTTTGGTTCATAAGCAAGGAGCATGTCTCCGCTGTTACTCACTCTCTTAACCACCCCACACCTGAGATCTTCTTAATAGTATAACAGACCCAAGGGATCACCTCACTCCTTGTTAATGGTTCAGGATTCTTCAGTACCTAGAAGAACTCTCCCCTCCTGGCTATACTGAGACCCAGGTAGCCTGTATTCCTACAAGATCTCCTGGTTCAGTCACAGCCCTCCCAGAACACTCCTGTCTGTATACCTTTCCCAGACCCCCAACCCAGTCTCCGTATCCAAGCTGCGAGGCTCTGTCCTCTTGCTATGGATAGTCTCAGTGAACCATTTCTCCTTATCTCACTCCCTAACTCACAACTCCAGTCAAACCCTATCTCTTAACCTGAACCTTTGCCCTATCATCTTAAATCCAGACCCATCAAACTCCCTCGGAAACTGCTCCTTTTATTGTCCCCCCCCCCAAGTGCTGTTCCTCCCCCCTTTGTGGCTAGCTGACTCTGTCGCCGATCAGAGAGAGGCTCCAGCACTCTGGTGTCTGTCACAGAGTGATATGTCTAACAAGCAAAAGCACTGAAGAAATTTGGACACTTCTGTAGACAGCATGGTCAGGAATGATAAGAAGGCCACAGGTTTTCCATACCTGCTATAGAGAAACCGTATTGTACCCTTAGGGTTGTTTTGTTTCAGTTTAATGTCCCCACATGATTCTTTAAATAGCTCATGGTAGTCAACAATTTTAAAGACATTATTTACTTGTCACCTTTAACTTCTGATGCTGAACGGGCCAACTCGGTGCTAGCTGTTTTAGTATTAATACAGTGTCATAAATGTTTACAGGGGAACATCATGAAACAAAAAAGGAGCTTACATTCTAGATTGTGCTTGACCTATCATTAACAAATGCAGTATCTGTTTGAGATTTGGAGTAAGCTCTTCTAGCCCCTTTACATTTTCACCTGCTGCTTGTGGCTGGCTGACCATAGTGGATCTCCCTGGAGATGTAACGCATATCCTGCCACACTGTCTAGTGCAGTGTTTGATATGATCAAAATACAGGCCTCTGTATTCCCTGCTCTTGTAGGTGCCCTACTGCCATAATATCAAAGCTCCTGATCACTCATCAGTTGTGTGATGGCTGCAGTTCCTCCAAGCAGCATGTAAATCTAAAAGGTGCATAGCTCTACAATTTGTTGGGTTACAGATTGTGTGAGAACTAGTATACCTGGCTCAATACTGAGAGAAACTCCCTTTTGCCCAGGATAATCACTATTCTGAGTTATTCAGCTGAAGATCGTGATATTACAGGTGCTGCATGAATAAATAAAATAATTTCTCCTCTCCAGATTTAAAGACCACCCAACACTAAATGACAGGTACTTGTTGCTACATCTCCTGGGCAGAGGCGGATTTAGTGAAGTATATAAGGTAAGTTGGATGTCCTTTGGCTGATTGGTTGTCCTAATTTGACTCCTTGATAAAATGACTCTGAAGCCAGTGTCTTAATTATCTGGCATCTCAAGAAATAAAGGTGGGACAGAGCTCTGCCCGAGATCCTCACCATTCAGCATGAATTGATAAAGGGCATGTTCATGTGCTTATCACAACTGGGTGTTTTTAAATTTGAATCATATTCATCTCACTTTGGAGGTGCCAGGTTTATAAATGCATTTGTATGAACTTGCAAACACTCATGTACGTGTATGTATGTATGTATGTGTATATATATATATATATGCATTCATATTGGAGCAATTGCATTATAAGCAAGCATACTAAGGGAAATTCACATCCTTAATGACAAAAAGAATATGATTAGGGAACAGCATTATGCATGAAGCAATTTGCCCACTAAAATACTATGTGGGGGTGTCTCAAAGAAAACGTTCAACATCCACACAAAATCGTTTAAAATTAATTTGGAATTGCTGACTTTTTCCCTCAGTGGAAGGAAGTGAAATTTGTTTAGGGTCGATGTGTCAGCTCTGGTAGTATTCTGAATCGGCTCTCTCCTTCATCTTCCAGGCATTTGATTTAACGGAACAGAGATATGTAGCAGTAAAAATCCATCAGTTAAATAAAAACTGGAGGGATGAGAAGAAAGAGAACTACCACAAGTAAGTAACTCTGGATGTTGGACTGCAGAGAAGGGGGGGGTTAAAAAAAGGGCATAACTTCTAAAATGAAAACTGGTTAGTAAAAGAGGTTCATTGCTTCTGTCTGAGAAACAGCTGGTGGTTCTACTCTTGTGAACCAAAAAACCCCCTTAATTTCTGCCCGTGTTAGCACAATAAATGGTTGAAGGAGCAAGACTTGAAGGGAGCTGAAATTGCTTTGGAAAAGGAGAGGGATAAGAGCAGAATGTTTAGGGACTCTGCAGAGAAAAAGACCCTTGAAAAAGAACAGGTTACACTTCAGCATCTCTGTAGGTTCCTCATTGTCCTGGAATCACAACCCTGGTCCAGAGCAGTGAAGTTATATTCTCTTGCCTGAGCTACTGCTAGAAATATAGTGAAATGCAACTGTGCAATAGGCATTGGGTTTTGGTGGTCAAAATGTCCATTGCTAGTGATTTTACAAGAACGTTAGGTCTGATTTGTTTGATTTTTTTTAAAAAAAGTTTTGTCATTGTAAACTGCCCCAAAGTTTAGGTAGATAGTTGAGAATAAGAAAATTAAATAAGGACGCTTTCCTTGTTGTTACAGGCATGCATGTAGAGAATACAGAATCCATAAAGAGCTGGATCATCCTCGTATAGTTAAGCTGTATGACTATTTCTCGCTGGACACTGACTCGTAAGTGCTGCTCTTTTTGCAATTCTGCGATAAAACTGGCTACTTGAATGACTGTGCTTGGGAATCTTGGGTCTCCTTATTGCTCAGAGCTCAACGTGAAGGTGGGGCGTGTGTCATGTAAGACATTCTGTGTCAAAGGGGTCTATAAAAGAGATGAGTTGTGTTGTTCAGGGTACCCCTCACTCCCCAGTATGTATTCCCTTTCAGTGTGGGACGAATTCCCACACAGCAAGGAATTGAACGGGGCAGAGGGCATCCTGTAGCCTTGCCGCCCTGTTAACTGCCACGACTGAATGTGTGTGTGGAGGGAAACAAAGCTGTAACCGGTTTTGTAACTATTACAAAAATTACAAAAACTCTCCCACATTCAAACCACCTGACCCATTAGGAATAACAAATGACACTCTTTCAGTCAAAATAAAGTTAACAATAATGCGGTAATTGCACATTGGTTTGTGATTTTATTGTGTTAATTTACTTTGCTGTCTAAATTATAAATGCTGCTTTTAATGGATTCAGTTTTGTGATGCCTTGAGGCCTTGGATAGAAGGCCAGGATGTAAATCGGTAATTGAAAAGTTCCTGTTTATCCATAGAACAAGATCTTAAATCTCTGATAAAAGCTTTGACCCAATTAAACAAATTGAAGTAAGTTAAGAGTATTTTTTCCCAGGATAACTGACTGGTGTAACCCTATCACAGTGAGACGAAAGTGGTGTTTTGTTACAAGCCAGCCCCTAGTTGCAACTACAAAATTCCTGCAGATAGAAAGGGAGGAGACTTTGCAGCACTGTTATAATATCATGATATATGATATAATATCATAATATATGTTTGACGTCACTTCTTTTAGGTTTTGTACAGTGTTAGAATACTGTGAGGGGAACGATCTGGACTTCTACCTGAAACAGCACAAATTAATGACTGAAAAGGAAGCCCGGTCTATTATCATGCAGATTGTGAACGCATTAAAATATTTAAATGAAATCAAGCCACCCATTATTCACTATGATCTCAAGCCAGGTATGTTGATAGTGGGTCTGGAACACAGCACGAGAAAGTGGGGCGGGGCACTCTGTATTCTGCAGATTTCTGTTGTGAGAATTGCCGTGTTCATTGGTTGTGTAATAAGCAAGCTTCCAGTGCCCATAATTGCATGATCTTATCATGTATATGTAACAGGGTAAGGAATGTGAAGCAGAGCACAGGAATAAATGAACAGCTCTCTCGATCGAAGGATGTAGAAAGTGGATGTGTGCTTTTTATTTGTTCATAAATGTTCTAAATTAGGGGGGTGAGCAGTGCGGTACCCAAGTTTGCTGATTATGCCAAATAGTTCTGTGTAGTTGAAACAAAAAGGGATTGTGAGAACTTCCCAAAAGGATATCTCTGAAATGGGTGAACGGGCACTGAAATGGCAAATACAATTCAGTGTAAGCAATGTAAGACATTCGTATTGGGGTAAAAAATTCTAACTTCACGTATAAGCTCATGGGGTCTGAACTGGTGGCGACTGACCAGGAATTGGGCGGGTAGCTCAGCAAATGTGTTGACTTGTATGTGACAACTGAGAACGGTGAATTCCGTGCTTGGAATCATTAGGAAAGGGATTGAAAACAAAGCTGTCGGTATCTTAATATCGGTATACAAATCTACACTGCAGTAGCCCTTGGAATATTGTGTACAGTTCTGGCACTTCACCTGAGAATGAATATTGCAGAGCTGGGAAGGGTTCAGAAAAAGACAACCAAAGTGTTTATGGGGTTGGAGCAACTCCTGTGAGGAAAGGTTACAGCAATGGGAAGCTTTTCAGTATAGAAAAAAGGCATGGGTGGAAATGACATGATAGCAGTGCTTGCATAGTGTAGAGAAAGTAGATAGGAAGAAGTTACATTCTGCCTCCACTGTTGGGAGAATTTGCAAGTGGGAGAATTCTGTTGCCCTCGGGAGCTGCTTGGGGTCTTCCCCTAGGCATCTGGTTGGCCACTGCAAACGATGGGCCTTTGGCCTGATCCAACAGGGGCTCTTCCTAAGTTTTTGTGTTCATGTCAGAGCCTTCAACTGCAAAGAGCAATTTTGATTCCTGTGCTCTGCTTGTGTCATGTTGCATTATGGGTAAATGTTTTAAACAGGGGGTGGGAGAAGGCCGGTGGATGGGAGATGGTTGCCTTAGGCTTAACAGAGGAACCCTAACCACTCTGTTACTGTTTAGGAGAGTGGGGTTCTGATAAGGTCACTTTTTGGAGGTGGCCTGTCATCCTGGCTGAAAATAAATAAGTGTATTTGACCTCTTTCTGCATTCTCATTTGGAACAGGCTGCTGCTTCAGCAGCAGCAAAATGTAATGGGCATATTCACCTAGAAAATTGGTTTGGTTTTTTTTAATTCTCCAGGTAACATCCTCTTGGTAAATGGTACTGCATGCGGCGAGATTAAGATCACTGACTTTGGCCTCTCAAAGATCATGGATGATGACAGTTATAATTCAGTCGATGGCATGGAGCTGACATCGCAAGGGGCTGGCACTTACTGGTGAGTTCCCTGGTCTGTTTCTTGCACTGAACTACCCATAATATCGTAGAATGTGAAGGTTATTCAGCTGAGTGGGCCAAGTCATTTTTTTTTTTACAAGGGAAAAAGCTGCTGGAAGAACCCCTGCACCTATGGTGGAGCCCACCTTGAAAAACTGTGTTAAGGTGGACAGCTCTTCCAAGTGCTTGCATCTCACGCCACCAAGAAATATAATCCATACATCCTTACAACACTAATAATTATAATAAAAACAACAATCTGACTGGGTTGTCCCAGTCACTCTGGGTGGCAATGAGATTCCAACCTTGTAAATGACTGCTGTACTTGGCAATGTGGAGTTCACTCCTTTGGTAACTTCTACTCAGAGGCATGGAAGGTTGATAGTGAGGAAAGATACGGATTTCTGTATAAATGAATATGGCTAGTCTGCAGCTGTTAATTTCTCTGCCCCTAGGTATTTACCACCTGAGTGTTTTGTAGTTGGGAAAGAGCCTCCAAAGATTTCAAATAAAGTTGACGTCTGGTCAGTGGGAGTAATATTCTACCAGTGCCTCTACGGCAGAAAGGTAAGCAAAATAATTTGACTGCTGCTGAATTTACTGAACTATTGAATCATAACTGCAAACTGAGTTTTTTGTTGAATTCTGTGGTGTCTTCGGCACAGAGTTCAGGTTCCTGAGACTCACTTAAGCCAGTGTTTCCCAACCTTTTTTGGGCAAAGGCACACTTGTTTCATGAAAAAAATCTCGAGGCACACCACCATGCCAGATGGGGAAAGGTCACTTTTTACTTATGTAAAAAAAATTAAAAAATAGTAACAGCATAGAAGGTAATGGTAGATGACTGTTAGGGTCTCCCCCCAAATGCAGAATTCTATTAATATCTTCCTTAGCGAGCCGCGTTAACCCCTGTAATGCTTTCTATAGAGTAAGCATAGGGGACACTGGGAGATGTGGAACCAAGGGGGCAGTGGGCCAAAAGAGTTCGGGATCTACTGCTTTAAACAGAAATAAGAGCCAGTGGGTTCTTCCTTTTTTAAAGTATCGTTTCAGCGGGGACAGCAGTCCGGATTTCCAAAAAGCGGCGCTTTTTTGCGTCTGAGCAAAGAAGAGAGAGAGGGGAAAAAAGAGAGAGAGATTGATTTGTGGCTGCGCAAAGGGGGGAGGAGCCCAGGAGTAAAAGTAGGAAGGACGAAGGGAGGGGAAAGGAAAGTTAATAGAAGGAAAGGCGGGTGGGAGAGAAAGAGAAAGAAAGAGGGAAGGAAGGGGGGAAGAGAAGTGGAAAGGAGGGAGACTGAGGCGGGGGAGAAGCGTCTGGAGAGTTGCTCCGAAGTTTGGGGGGCCGCGGGGGTGGGCGCGCGTCCCAGGAGGCGGAGGCCAGCCCGGGCTGGGAGCCGCGCCGCGGCCCGGGGGCGGTAGGCGGACCGCGGCTCCTAGGATGTGGAAAGGGGACGGCGGCGCAGGGGGAGGAGACCGGCACGGCTAGGGCAGCGCGCAGGGGGAGGGGAGCGGGCCGGAGGCGGGCGAGGGGGGCCGCGATCCCGCGCGCCGCGAACATGGCCTCCTTCCCCGCGGGCCCCGCCGAGCCCCCCGGCCGGGGAGGGCGGCGCACCCCCGCCGCCGGAGGAGAGCAGAGGCAGGAGGAGGAGGACGAAGGCGCTGCCGAGGAGGCGCGCCAACTTCTGCCAACTTCGGCGCCCGCCCCGTCGCCGCAGGCTCCTCCCGGCCGAGTCACGTGGCCAGCGTGACGAAGCTGCTCTGGTGAGCCAGCAGCAGCGCAGCACACGGAAACGGTCCCTATTTATCTACTTGCACATAAGGGTGCTTTCGAACTGCTAGGTTGGCAGAAGCTGGGACTGAACGACTGGAGCTTGCCCCGCCGCGGGGATTCGAACCGCCAACCATGCGATCGGCAACCCCTAGGTGCTGAGGTTTTACCCACAGCGCCACCCGCGTCCCTAGTGCTGCATGGTACAGCATAATTTATCATCTCCCCACTTCTGATATAAATGATATACAGAGGATGTAATTGTACTAAAGTTACATGAAGAGAACTTTTAAAATAAGGTTGTCTACAACTGCTTGTCGTCCCCCCCCCCCCTGCACTGGATCAGGGGTAGGGAACCAAGCTTCTTCTGCCTAATTTTATGCTGATAGGGGAAGTCTGGAGAGAAAGTTGAAAAAGAAACAGGGGGGGGGGGCAGTCAAGACAGACAGAATGGTGGAAAGCAGGGAATCCTCTCAAGTCCATCACATCTGACCTCTGGCAAGAGCAATCTGTTCCTCTCCAGGCAGAGAAAAGAGATGGCCTGGCATTTATAGCTAAATAAAAAAGATTAAAAAATGTAACTTATTGATTAGTGTCAAAAGGATGTTAAAGGATATGTTGATGGTTCAAAGGGGAGTCAAGAGAAAACTTGCTTCACCAGCAGATCAGTAAGCAATTAGGAAATAAACTTTGGTGCTCTGAGGTATACAAAAGTTAACCGTGGAAAAGAATGTATATGCTTGCTGCAAATAGTGAGATGATGCAACATTAGTTATGGGGGCGATCCGTCCAAATGTAACACTTTTAGGTCATTTTCAGTAGGAAAGATTTAAGAATGGGTTGCATCTCCCCCCCCCCGAATGGCTTAAAATAGTGATTCACTTGGGTTGCACACCCTGTTCGATGCATTTGTTGTTGAGAACTGGCGCATCTGGGACTCCTGGGCCAGGTGAGAGGGACGTTGGCTTTGCCTCTTGGCGGTTTGAGAAGCATCCCTGACCTTTGCGGGTGTCCACACACTTCCACGTCGCGCTCCTGGGATCGTGTGGGGACTAAGAGACGGCCGGAGGGGGATCTGGCGAGCCCCTGTGGATCCCCGCAGGATAATCCTCGATTACAGGGATCAGGGGGCTCTTCTGAGGGAAAAGCGGAGCGCAAGAGGGGGGAGAGAGCGCGCTCCCTGACAGAACCGAAAGGAAGAGCCGGTTCGGGGCGGGGGGGAGCCAGAGCAGCGGCTGCCCCCCTCCCGGCTCCCACGGGGCCTTCCGCCTGAGGGAAACCCTTTTCCCGCCCCCGGAGAGCCTCGCGCGCGGGGTCCAGAGGGGGGAGGGGCAGAGAGCAGAGGGCGCGCACCCCCCCAGCCACGCATGCGCGCCTCAGCCGCGCCTGCTGGGCGGTCCTTTCCCCTGGGCTCCGCCCCTCGCGACACAGGCCGCCCGTCGCAGCGTCGTCCCGCGGGGCTGGCGCCAGGCGCGGCCACGGAAACAGCGAGCGAGGAGCGAGAGCGGCCCGCCCTCGGCTGGCTGACTGGCTGGGCTGGCGCGGCGAGGGGCAGAGGCGAGAGGCTGCGCGCGGATCCGGCGGCGGCGCGCCCCCGCCGCCGGAGGAGAGCAGAGGCAGGAGGAGGAGGACGAAGGCGCTGCCGAGGAGGCGCGCCAACTTCTGCCAACTTCGGCGCCCGCCCCGTCGCCGCAGGCTCCTCCCGGCCGAGAGCCAGAGGACGGCGGCGGAGCAGGAGGAGGAGGATCGCGTTTGGCGACGGCTGCTGCGTCCTCTCCAAGCGCGGGGCTGGCCTCCGCCGCGCCCGATCCTCTCGCCGCCCGACTCGCCCGCCTCCCTCCCACAGCACACCAGGCAACGTCTCGCGGCACACTAGTGTGCCGCGGAACACCGGTTGGGAAACACTGACTTAAGCGTTCTGGTTTAATTTTTTTAAGCACATTTGTTGCTGTCATGCCTTGAAGGAATTTTTCAGCGTGTGCAAGGAAACTTCAGTAGAAGCTCCAGTGATCAGGAAACGGAGCTTTTATAACTTCAATTAAATAATTAAATTTTGTTATGCGACGATCTCCAGACAACCATATTATACTAAAAGGTAAAGGTACCCCTGCCTGTACGGGCCAGTCGTGTCCGACTCTGGGGTTGTGCGCCCATCTCACTCAAGAGGCCGGGGGCCAGCGCTGTCCGGAGACACTTCCGGGTCACGTGGCCAGCGTGACAAAGCTGCATCTGGCGAGCCAGAGCCGCACACGGAAACGCCGTTTACCTTCCCGCTAGTAAGCGGTCCCTATTTATCTACTTGCACCAAACAACAAAAAGCACATGAATTATAAACATTATTTTAGTCTATCAAATTCCTGGGGAAAATATGTATTTACCTGGAGCCATAAAAATATCAGGCAGAGCTCACTGAGAAGCACATGCCACAAATGAGGAGCACAACTGAAAATGCCCTCCTTTGTCACCAACCTTCAACCTGGAGATGGGCCAATATTGCCTTGTTCTCCTCCAGTCATTTTACCTTAGCACTGCACCCCCTAAATGCTGCATTGATTTAATTAACATTCTAGGTTCTGCCAACTGATTTGGGATGGGGTGGTTTGGGAAGTGAGAGATCCGATGCTTATAGGAAAATGAAAGGGAAGCAAACTGGTAAGGAGCAATGACTGGGATGCATGTTGAGTGATCGGATACTCTATGGGATGAATAAATCTTACTTCCCGACTGAGAACATGTTCAGACAGGAATTCTGCTACCTTTTAAGCAAAAATCCATTACAGTGGTACCTCAGGTTACGTACTTAATTCGTTCCAGAGGTCCATTCTTAGCCTGAAACTTTTCTTAACCTGAAGCACCACTTTAGCTAATGGGGCCTCCTGCTGCCGCCGCACCGCCGGAGCACGATTTCTGTTCTTATCCTGAAGCAAATTTCTTAACCTGAAGCACTATTTCTGGCTTAGTGGAGTGTGTAGCCTGAAGTGTATGTAACCCGAGGTACCACTGTACACATTTTCAGATTTTTGTACACCACAAAGTAACCTAATGTGCTTAAAAAAAAAAAATTGGCTACATTTCTGTGAAACCTACTGGATCCCTCTTGTTGAAATGTGAATAATGACCGTGTTCTAATATATGCATGTTGCACTCTCCCCCTCTCCCCTCCCCAGCCTTTTGGCCACAACCAGTCTCAACAAGATATTCTGCAGGAGAACACAATTCTGAAAGCAACAGAGGTGCAATTTCCTCCAAAGCCAGTGGTAACACCAGAAGCAAAGGTAAGAGAGTGTTTCTATTTGGTATTCTACCAGGAGAGGGAGGCTCCCTGTTTCTCCTGTTTCCACTGAGATTGCAGGGATGTCCACAGCTTCTGCTGAGGAAATCGTAGAGCTATTTTCAACAGATCTTTACTCCCTCCCCCCCTTTCTGTTCATGACCAGGATGATGATAAAGTCATACCTTGGATCCCAAATGCCTTGCAAGTCGAATGTTTTGGCTCCCAAACGCCGCAAACCCGGAAGTGAGTGTTCCGGTTTGCGAACATTCTTTGGAACCTGAACGTCTGACGGGGCTTCCGATTGGCTGCGGGAACTTCCTGTAGATAATCAGAAGCCGCGCCTTGGTTTCCGAACATTTTGGAAGTCGAATGGACTTCCGGAACAGATTCTGTTCTGCTTCTGAGGTACCACTGTATATATTTTTAAAGTTCCAAAAAAACAAAGGCACCTAGTCTGATGCTTTCCAGCTATCAGTTGGGATTTGGAACATCATTGCCCTGAAACTTGTTGGCCATTGATCCTCAGCAGAGCCAAAAACTCATTACAGCTGGTGGCTTATCTTCTGCCTCTATCAAAGCTTCCTTTTAGAAAGAATATGTCTGACAGCTAGTTACATGGTGGAGAAAATGAAGTCCAGCTCTGCCAGGACACCACTGCGTCCTCTGTCTGTATTAGAGCAGAACCTTGGACTTTATGTGAAGTTCACTTCCGCTCTGAACCTGACATCAGACCCACCTTGGCAATGACTTGTGTTGTCAGTTAGGACAGATCTTTCCCTTTACTAGATGAATTAGACCCTTAGATGGTTGACCCGTGTTCCTGTAACCCTTTTCTTCTGTATACTCACTGTGTTTTAGTTAGGGTTTCATTTCCTTCAGCTGTAGTATTTACACAATGAGTGCTCAACTCCCCCAGTGGTAGTTCTGCCTCCATTGGTGGATAGGAATTAGCACCCATCACTGGATTTCCTCCTCCATCCAAACAGATGGAATTGTTCTGATAAGGTCTGTAGTTTTCTGGTCAATCAGTCATCTCTGCAAGGTTCACCCACTCAGTCCCACTCTAAGCCATCTGTCTACAACAGTGGTGTCCAAACTTTTTTCAAAGAGGGGCAGATTTGATGAAGTGAAGGGCCATGAGAGCCAACCAAAAGGCCAACCTTTTTTTTTTAGGATTGAAGTTGTTGCGTGGTCTTTTAAGGATTTTACCCCAGGAAATACACTGCCACAGGGGCCAGATTAAACTGACTGGCGGGCCGGATTGGGCCCCCAAAACAGACTTTCGACATGCTTGGTCTACAATGTAGCAAGCAGCACCATTCAGAAGCTAAGATTGAAATCTCTTCAGATCTGCTGAAGAGAGAAAAAGGCAACCATGGCTCCTCTCTTCACTTTCACTCCATGGTTCTGTTGTCAACTCACCCAGTTGCCTGATGGGTAAAATTGGAGACCAGCTTACTGCGGCAGGCTGAGGGAGGGAGCAGAAAGAAAGGGTGGGAGAAGTCCCTGCTATTGCTTTTTATGCCATTCCATCAGACTTGAAGAGGGGTGCCTGGTAAAAGCTTAGCCTAGAAGATCCTTCAATGACCATCAATTGCAGGATGCCAAGGAGAGTGTGCTTTACACACAATTTACTTACCGTACCTATTTTTCAAAAAAAATATTTAGTATAACCAACCTGTTTCTGCTTCTGGAAAAGAGCTATCAGTACCAACTTTTCATGCCCATTTTCTCTTCTCTGTTTGTCTTCCAGGCATTTATCAGGCGCTGCCTGGCCTACCGGAAGGAAGATCGAATAGATGTTCAGCAGTTAGCATGTGACCCCTACTTGCTCCCTCACATCCGCAAATCTGTATCAACAAGCAGCCCGGCTGCGGCTGCCATTGCCTCAACCTCTGGATCCTCTAATAACAGCTCTTCAAACTGAGCAGGAACAATAGGCCAAAAAGATACATATAACCGGAACTGCAGAAAGAAAACCGAGAGAGAGTCAGAGACGTTTTGAGAAGCAGCCTTCGGGATTGGCAAGGAATCCACAAAACGGCCTCCAGAAACCGGTATCGGGTGCTTTGTTTTCCTCTTGCGCTCTTGTCCCATCCGTAGAGCAAGGCATCATTGATTCTCGGCAAGGTTCTATGGCGACTTAAGTCCAACTTAAGTGGCCAAGGAAGAGGAGATTGATTGGTCTCGTGCTGAGCAACGGCAAAGGCACTAACCGCTCTGGGCAGCAGAGAGAAAAGATGGCTCCATGTACTGTGAACTTCCAAACACCACGGACCCCGGGTGCGGTTCCAAAATGCAGGGTGCACACACACACACACTGTGTGGAGAATTGCGGACTTGGCAGCAGGGTAAAGAGGCTGGACTTGGTCCACTGTCAATATTTAAAAATATGTTCCTCTTTTTTAAAAAAAACAAGACAAAAAGCAAAATAAAGTTTAGGCTACATCTCATTTGGGGGGAAGGGGGGGAAAAACCCCACAGAGCTCAATGCTGTGAGGTTCCACTGAGGGATCGGCATTGGACTCTTGAGCCCTTTGCAAGGGAGCCAAGTATCCTGCCTGTTGATAGCACCAGCATTAGCATGTCATCCCAAATAATTTCAGTTTTAAAAGAACGACTTTTATTGGGGGGTTTTTGGTTGTAAGGTGAAATAACTAGCAGGTCAATGTGGCAGCCCTCTCTCCCTTTTCTTTAGATTGGCCTCATATTCTGTGAAGGAGGAGTACAATGTAATGCAGAGGGTGCGTTACAGCTAGGAACATAGGTTTCTGTCCTCGCTCCAGCCCCCCAGAAAACTGCTTTTTGGCAGGTACTTGACGGTTATCCCCCTTCAGAATAAAACTAAGTGTTTCTAATTTTTTATTTTCCCCCAATGTTTTCCTCGTGTGGTGTTCGGATCCATTCACTAAAGTCTCTTTTGGGTGATGGCATTCTCTTTTAACACACACAAGGATGACAGAACTCTAGACAGATTACCTCCCTTGCCCTCTTTCTCCCTCCCTTTATTTTCTTTTTTTTTTTAATCTTTCTGTACTGTCTCAGAAACATCTGCTACATTAACACCCCAAAAGGACACTTATCCTGAAGAACAGCTAGATTTTTTTAAAATCTTAAACTTTGTGTTTCCGTTTCTTTATCAGAGTTTTGAGTTTGCTTTTTTTTCTTTCCTTTTTTACATTACTGCTCTTGGTCCTTGACTCTTTTTTTTTTTCACCTTTTAAGAAAGACATGTAAACCAAAGAAGAATCCAGTTGCTTGAATCTTGTGGCAGAATGCTACTCCTGCACGTGGCCAAAACGTTGTTTGCTGAAAACCTTGAAAGCCGTACTGTATGGTCAGGTACCCTGGCCAGGACTTCGATTCTGCACCCACAAGTGATGATTCTCAACCCTCCCTCCTCAGCTTCCTGCAGATTGGGGTGCAAGTAGAAGTAGCAGGAGCGAGGCGAGGGGGACCAAGCCATATCGAGATTTAGGGGACTTGCGGAAGAGCTGAGCTGGGAAGTGGAGGCTGTATGCGTGTGTGTGTTGGTCTGTTTGTTCATCTCTAGCTACTCCTGCAGATCAGGTGGAAAGGACCTGGGTAAGCGAGTGTAGCTGGGTGTAGCTGTCTTGTGTGTGCCTCACCCTCCTATTTATTCCAACAGCTTAATCACCAGGATAGATGAGGTACCATTTGATCAGGAGGCAAGCCTGCGCCTCTGTTTAAATGGCGTTAAATGAAGTTGAGCAGGGAAGTGAGGAACTGTGATGTGTCATCATTACAAATGAAGGCCCTGCAAAAAGGCTCCTGAGATAATGCTTTTTTAAATAAAGAAAGAAATCTCACCCCAAACAGGTGCCATGAGTCCACCTTCGGGGACAGAAGGGTTTTCCTCACTTGTTCCTGAGAACTGAGGGTGTAGCTTTTTTTAGTTCCTCTGGTGGAACAACTGGTATTTGGACTCCTTCTACTGGGCAGAAAGTAAGAGAACTCTAGGGCCAGGGGGAAAGGCGAGCATGCCATTAGGCTATTGATAAGGCTTCTGGTAAAGTTTACACACAGACACACACAAACACCCCACCCCACAATTTGCCTCTGAGCATGAGAATAAAACACACAGCCAACTTTTTTGTCTTTTCATCCCCACCCCAACCTCCTTTTCTTGTCCTAGGAGAAAACCAGGTCTTATATTAATTCCATTTAGGGTTTTTCTAGTCCACGGTTACTCGTCGTTTTTTCCACCAAAACGCAGCTTGGGGTTATGTGTGAGCTGGCAAAATGCAGGCGCTGGTGTCTTGGCTGCCACAGCAGAGTACAGCTGTTGTCTGCTTGCGGTGCCCTTGTCTCAGCCCGTTTGGGGTTGGGCTCGTGTTATATTTCTGCAGCTAAATTCAAGACTTGAAGCATGCTGTCCTGGAAAGCGCCCGGTCCTAGCATTTTATCCCCCCGATTGCCGTTCTTGGAACTTAGCCCAAAGCAAGTTTTCACTTCAGGCAGGTTAAAACTTGGATTTACCAGCTTGTGGTGGAGCTAATTATTGATCACTCGTGGAGAGAACCCTATCCCATGTGAGACTTAAAAAGAAGTTTTAAAATTTTGTTTTCTAAAAGCCCAACCTGCCTTTGAGCCATAAATTGTATTTCTTTCCCTCTCTCCACCCACCCACCCCCATTTACATAGTGACTGTCAGCTGTTTCAGTCACTATTGGTTGTGCCTGGGTGGGAAGCCTCCATCTTTTCATGGTGTTCATCACAGAAGCAGGATAGATCTCTCTGGATGAAAAATGCAGACTGTGACTTTCCCTTTTCTTTTCTCCCCCCCCCCTTTTTTTTTTAAGCTGTTGCTGAAATGGGTTTTATTTCAGATAACAAAACCTTTTTATTGCCACACTGTTCATTTTACTGAAAGGAAAGAGGAAATGTGTATGGATTTGTAACTTGAAACTAGGCCAGACTGTTTTGGCTTTGCCCAGCAGACAAAAATACGGATATTAAACAAGTTTTAAGAAACTGAACTTGATGGTTTGTTGCATTTGAACTGCTGGTTGGTCCTTATGCTATGGGGGCAGAGACATGTGGCACATCCTGAGGAACCAAATGCGTATCACATTTGTTAGGATAATGCAGAATGATCAAAGAGGTTATTAAAGGTAAAGGTACCCCTGCCCGTACGGGCCAGTCTTGACAGACTCTGGGGTTGTGCGCCCATCTCACTCAAGAGGCCGGGGGCCAGCGCTGTCCGGAGACACTTCCGGGTCACGTGGCCAGCGTGACAAAGCTGCATCTGGTGAGCCAGCGCAGCACACGGAAACGCCGTTTACCTTCTCGCTAGTAAGCGGTCCCTATTTATCTACTTGCACCCGGGGGTGCTTTCGAACTGCTAGGTTGGCAGGCGCTGGGACCGAGCAGCGGGAGCGCACCCCGCCGCGGGGATTCGAACCGCCGACCTTTCAATCGGCAAGTCCTAGTCGCTGAGGCTTTAACCCACAGCGCCACCCGCATCCCAAAGAGGTTATTAGGTGCCATAAAATACTATTACCCATCCACAGAGGGAACAAAAATACTCAATGGAGTCATAGTTCTGGCAACACTTTCCGTTGGATCATTTGAGTTCATAATTGATATAACTACAGTGGTACCTCGGGTTACATACACTTCAGGTTACAGATTCCGCTAACCCAGAAATAGTGCTTCAGGTTAAGAACTTTGCTTCAGGATGAGAACAGAAATTGTGCTCCGGCGGTGCAGCAGCAGCAGGAGGCCCCATTAGCTAACGTGCTGCTTCAGGTTAAGAACAGTTTCAGGTTAAGAATGGACCTCCGGAACAGATTAAGTTCTTAACCCGAGGTACCACGGTAATTCTGCTTCTTAAACGCTCCAAAATTTGGCAGTTTGCAAATACATGGAGTCTTGGTCTTGCATATAATTGTAAACAAAGGGTGGAGGAAACCTTGGCAACAGTGACGCCAGGAGCAAAAATAATTTCCCTGCCATCAGTGATTGCTCGATGATAGAACATTGATTTGGGGCTATTTGCATACGAGAGATTTAATATGGAACTGCAGAGGTTGGCTTCTTTTTCTTCACTTACAAAATGAGAGCCTAGGTTCTGTGAATCTATATAAAGAGCAGTAGATTGTACTAGATCCAAAGCAACCATGGTTGTAGCAGTTGCTCTGGGTTTCAAATTTTACTTACATCACGCCTGGGGTAGCTCAGTTGGTAAGAGCATGAGACTCTTAATCTCAGGGTCTGGGTTCAAGTCCCATGTTGGCTGAAAGATTCCTGCCTTTGACTAGATGACCCTCATGGTCCTCTACAATGATATCATTTGTGATGGTGTGTGGAATCAGGCCTCATGCAAATTTCTATTTTGCCTTGCCAGTGCAGATTCTTTCTTTTATCACTAGAGGGCAGAGTAATCGCAAATACTATGTGAGAAATTTGTGACTTGCAAACACTCTTAACTTGTCCTGCAAGAAAGACAGGCTCCTGTGAGTCCAAAACACGCACATATTGTGCACATAATTAATTCAATTTTGTTATTTAAAGCATTTCTACCTTGCTATTCCTCAAGAAGAGGCCAAGGTGGCCAGCAAAAAAACACACACGTTAAAAGCATTATCAAGGGGAAAGATCCAAAAACATAAGATCTGAGGCCCTGTTCCATTAAAACCATTTCCAGCTTTGTTCATTGCTCAGGCCTTGCCTCTTACTGATAATCCTCAGCTGCTGTCATGCATAGGTTTTGTTTTATGATTTGTATCACTCAGTCGCCCCCAAAACAGGGATGCAGCAGAAATTGGTTTTCTCAGAGGAAGCTATTGGTCATCTCAGCCTGAGTAATTGCTCTGGGCTTGCTTCTTTCCAGTCCAGAAACATGCCCAGAAGAGTATTGTGCAGAAGAATGGAGTGGAGTGTTCTATGACCGTGTCATTTTCACTTCTAAATTATAAAAAATAAACATTTTGGAGTTTAACCATGAAGTGACCTCCAGTTCAAAGCCTGGAATGTATGTGTCTCAGCTATCAGAAGTTTAGAAAACACTGATATAATTTTATTCTGCAGGATTGCTTCATAATTTAAAGGGTGCTTTATTTCATCAGATGTGTTACCTGGTTTGTAGTATTGTAAGACAGAGATGGGGAACTGGTGGCCCTCCAGATCTTCTGCCATTCAACTGTCATTGTCCCTATTTGCCATGTTGACAGGAGCATGGAAGTTGGGATTCAGCAACATCTAAAAGGGCTGCAGGTTCCCCATCCTAAAGATCTAACAGTATCTTGGATGTTCACTGAGCTCCATCAGTGAGGTAAAGGCTGAGCAGAAAAGAGGATCCGTTTTTGTCAAAGGGGCATGCAGCCTGCAATAGACAGACATGCACAGCAACTCGTTCAAAATGTGAACAGCATATGCTTTTATATTCCTTCAGGTGTGGCAATTCAAAGCGATTCTATGTGGCAGGCATGTGTTTTACAGGGAGCTGCTGATCACTATTCTACAAAGAGTGGCAAATTTGAAACAGGTCTGTGAACTCCCATCTCATTGGACAGGAATGACCAGGTTGCATCTTTTCCCCCTTAGCTAATTTTGCAACACCCCAGAGGAACTGGGTCTCCAGTATGAATGATAAGAGAAGAAAGAACCAATATGTCTGACATATAGACCAATAGCCATCTTGTTACTTCATCTTTACCTGATTTACACCAGAAATTTCCACTGCAGTCTTGATCTTGGAAGATGGACGTCATCTGAGAGGGTGTTGGATCATGTATAAATAGGCTCTGAGCACAGCGCTAAATCCCTGTCCTGGGATATACCTAGGTGTTGACAAGGTCCCCAACTGTGTCTTGCTATTTTAAGTGGCTGATAAGTTGCTTTCTAAACTGACCCCTCTGCATCTTAGCAATGAAGATCCAGGAAGATAACTCTGTTAGGGTCAGTGAGGGCTCTTCTCGCCCATCACCAATGTTATCCAAGCCAATCTAGTTTTCTTCTGGGGTCATGTTAAGTACCCCCCCATGCTTGTCCTTCCAGCAGAAGCACCAAGGAGTGGACAAGGGTAACTGTTGGACATAATGGTTTTGCAAATACCATCTCCAGATTTAGGGCAGTGTAGCTGGTTGTTCCCCTGCACACTGCTCCGATCCAAGGGGGCACAAAATAATAGTAACAGTAATACCTATATTTATATGAATACCTGCTGAGATCCATAAAAAAGCAACTGTACCAAAATGAATTATTGTGAAAATAATATTTCGGGACGCCACCAAATTTTGTCCTCACTCCAGGCCCAATATTACCAAAGTCCACCTCTGCAAATACCATCTCTTCTAATGATGTTTTTATTAACAGGGAATGTTTCTAGTCTTGGAAGATGTTAGATTTCTCCAGAATGTGTGCATTGTATGCTAAGAGCTGGAAGTATCCCAAGGCAGCCTTGAAACCTTTTTTTTTAAAAAAAAATTAGCTGCCTAGATCTGTATTCCCTCATCCAAATTCTGCCGGGTTCCGCTGCCGCTAGTCAAAGAAAGTAGTGTCGGGCTATATACTAGCCTCACTCAGTGTAAGCTACAATCATGTTCATAACTGGTGTTTTCTTTGATACTGTTTGCTAAACGCGACAGCAAAAAGCAGAAGCGTCCCTTCCTATTTGTGTGGCTATCCAAAAAGTCCAGGAAACATTTAGTACAATAATTAAGCGGAGCTTGGGTGAATGAACAGTTCATCCCTGACAGAGGGATTTATGTATAAGCTAAACAAGCTATAGCTTAGGTGGGGGCCCCCCAAAAAAATTAAAGGGGAAAAAATGGATGTACATTTCCAAATGCGGGTGGCGCTGTGGGTAAACCACAGAGCCTAGGACTTGCCGATCAGAAGGTCAGTGGTTCGAATCCCAGTGACGGGGTGAGCTTGGTCCCTGCTCCTGCCAACCTAGCAGTTTGAAAGCACGTCAAAGTGCAAGTAGATAAATAGGTACCGCTCCGGCGGGAAGGTTAAAAAAAAACCGGCATTTTCGTGCGCTGCTCTGGTTCGCCAGAAGCGGCTTAGTCATGCTGACCACATGACCCAGAAGCTGTACGCCGGCTCCCTAGGCCAATAAAGCAAGATGAGCGCCGCAACCCCAGACTCAGCCACGACTGGACCTAATGGTCAGGGGTCCCTTTACCTTTCCAAAATATAAGATAAAAAACAAATAAAGTAAAACCTACATACAGCAACAGTGTTTTGTGTTGTGTAGGCTCCTATTTGTTATGTGGAAATGGCTTTAGATACCTATTAGGTCCATATAGCATCTATTCAACACAAAAAAACAGCGACAATTTGTTGTTGACAAAGGACAGCTGGACATATAAAGGGCCCATTACCTTCAGTAGCTTAGGGCCACATCAAACCTAAATCCGGCCCTGGGTGAACTAAGTTACTAAGAGATCCCTGCATTGAGGGAGCTAGGCTACTGGGTGACGCTGGAGTCCCTCGGAACTCTATGGTCATATGTGAACGCGCGCAGGCGCAGCTGCCGCTCTTTGTGAGGGGACGGGAGGACTTTTTAACCATAGAGTTGCCCAGCGGGATAGCCGGGCACAGCAACCCCTCGTCGCCTGACTTCCTGTCTGTGTCTGTGTGTGAGGTGACGGCTGTACCGGAAGCGCAGGGCTGCCTACAACTCTCGGGCTTCTCTCCCATTCTCTGCTCCTCCGCAACTTCTTCGCGTCCGGGGACGACGACGACGACGACTCGGCGCATCTCCTGTGAGGACTGCTTGCTGAGGGGGCCCGGCATCCTGAGGGGCGAGAGATACCGCGCAGCGCAGGCCTTTTCGCGCACGAGGCGCGCGCGTGCTGCGCGGGCGCCTTTACCTGCCAACAGGTGTTTCGTTTCCCAGAGCGACCCCCGTCCGGCCCGCGCTCCCGGGATGGCCCTCAACAAATCTATGCACGCGAGGAACAGATACAAGGACAAGCCGCCGGATTTCGCTTACCTGGCGTCCAAGTACCCGGAATTTAAACAACAC